GAGTCGGCGACGTCGTTCGTCGTCGTCGTCGTCGCAGCCGGCTTCGGAGCGCACGGGACAAGCTGCGGCTCGCACGAGCCTTCCGGAAACGACGCAGCGAGATTCACGGTACCGAACGGGTTCGAATCGAACATGCCGAAATTGTCATGGCTGCCTCCTTCCCCAACGGACTCCTCGGGAACATCATCAGGCAGAAGCCTGTCCGCATTAGGGAGCACTTTGTTATCCTTCTCAGCAATCCCCCCCATTTCGCCCATGTACGTCATTAATTGGTCGAGCCCTCGATCAAACAGGTCCCCGGTCTGGCCAAAGGAGAACATGGTGTCGTCTGCTGCGTCGAACGCGTCTGCGTAGAGCCTCTTGGAACCAAGCTTTTGGTTCGACTCCATGGGAAAGCCGGAGCTCGGAGAAAGAGAAATCTCGCCTGGAATCATCTTGCACAACTTCTAGGAGCGGAGAGTGTAAGAAAGTACTCCAAAGTTGCAGTCAGGAACCGTGCTAGACAGCTGGGGATAATGAGCAAGCTTCGGTAGCTAGCAATTTCTGAAGTAACCTGGAGTGCTGACTTGGAAGGCAGGAAATGATACTTGAATCTTCTCGTAAAGTGAAGTAAATACTAGCGAAAATACTCGCTGGGACAGTGGAGCGGAAGACCGACTTTCTGCGGAAACGGCCGCGGTGTCCTCCGTCCCGTCCCGTTTCGCTGGGAGTTGCGGAAAATGCAATTGCAGTTGCAATGGCAGCGGTGGAGCAGAGGGGAGAAATGGCCGCTGCTGAATTTGCGGCCAAATGCAGGTCTGAGGTGACAAGGACGACGCGGTTCCGCCACCTCAGCTGCACTCACTTCACCTCACTGTTCCGGATACAAGAGCCCGTACCAACCAAGGCACACCTGGCTGGGCTCAGCTTGGGATAATTTCCAGTTTGGTGAGAGTTGCAAACAAAGAACGCACGGTTGGGAACGATTCGAAATGTTGCAGACTGGTGTAGCGGGATTTGATGGATTTGGCTGGACGATTTTGGTGTGTGTGGGAAGATCTTTGGGTGAAGGCGGTGGGGTTGCTTGCGGGGATCATATTTGGGGAGGGGAGTTGAGGGGAGAGCAGCGTGCGGCGGAGACGAGGTCTTTCGGAACTTTGGTTCGGCGCTGGGAGCGTCAGCCTCAGGTGTAGGTTTGGTTGCACGAGGGGCTGGTTGGTTGGTTCAGGCGGAAGGACTGAGGGGAGAGGGGGCAGGCGTCAGGGAAGGTGGTGGTGGTGGCGGGCCAGAAGAATTAGTTGCCTTCGCGAAACTTGTGACAGACTGGCCATAGGTGGCCTCCTGTCAGAATTGATTCGGCCTGTGCCGCTGTGCGCCCAAGCAGGCTGGTGTGGGAGTTCGCTCGCGAACACGAAAATGTCGAGAGCGTCCTTTCGCAGCGTCCGCCAACCTGTTCGTAGGAAGCCCGTCAAGCAGGAAGAATTCTGACCACGAAATGAGCCCAAGTCCCTCGCTTACGTACGTCACGCACCTTCGAACGAAAGATTCACGTCGCTTGAGGGAAAAGAAAACGATCGCCTAGATCTTCTATCCCCGATTGGCAAGTGGTTGTCATCAACGACTTTTCGAGGGTGAGCGCCGCACCTCATTGGCCGAGCCATTCGAACCTTGGATCTAGAACTTTGAAGCCACCTGCGCTTGAGTAGGAAAATGTAAAAGACAGTGGCAGGATTTCGCCTGATTCGTGAAATTCCCACTGGTGATGAGTGAATCTAACCACATTCTGCAGCGTGAATCTTCCACCACACTGAAACGGCACAGTTGTCGGCAATCAAATCCTTCACTAATGCACGTCTTCGTCTCCTCCTCGCTCGAAACGCCTTCGGTTTGGATGGACTCCTTTATAGTACGCGTGGACGTGTAGCAACACAGGCGCAGCTGTGTAAGCGTAAACAAAACAAAGGTTCTGATAAGCAAACAAATAAGAATCCATAAGCAAGGGATAAATTTTTACTCTCTGATCCTACAGCATTTGACAACTGAATGGCTCTAGCTGCTTCACCTAAACTACCAAACGTCCCTAGCGCAACTACCTGCCTCTTGCAGGTCAGTTGTCAGACACCTAAGCAAATCAAACTAAAAAGCACTATACTAACTCTCAAACTACTCCCTGGAAGTAACAGCTCTATCATCGAGATCAACAGGGCTGCGATTGGCTGAAGAAAGAGAAGCCCTCTCCAGCACATGGGAGTACACAAGAGGGTGGTGGCAACAGCATACGCACACTGCCGCCCACCATAGCACAGCGGAGAGCACCACACCGGGGCAGACAGCAACAGCAAGGCCAAGAACACCCTCCGAGTCTTCCCAACACATGGGAGTACACACAGCGCAGTCACAACACACAAAGCCCATCCCAAAAGCACAGCGAGAGCAGAAGCACAATGGAGAGAAGCACACCGGGGCACCCGCACCAGCCCACCAAAGCAAATCGATCAGAAACATTGCCATCCATTGAAATGCAGCGCCCACACGGAACGGAACAGCGCAAGAGCGTCAGCCATACTACAGTGATTCCTGGTATGGCGTCAGCAATACCAAGGTGACTCCTGGAATCGCCCTCCCATCCGCCTGTTTTGGGTCGACTCAAAGCACCAAAGCAAATCGCGCGGAAATAGTGCCCACAGCCCACTCGGAACAGCACAACAGCGTCAGCAACACCAAGGTGACTCCGGGGATTGCCTCCAACCACCTGAAGCAGTCAGCCTGAAACGTGCTGGGCGCACAAAGCATGGCTTTAAGTGGGAACCAGTCCAGTGGAACCAGAGGAGCACACAGGGCATGTTGTGCTGCTGCCTGCGTGTGAACGCTGCTGACAAACAACATTCACGCGGGGTGAAACCCTTGACGAGTTCAGCAGCATGCCTATAACGAGGCTGCAGTGTAGCTGTACCCATTACAAGCACTAAATGTCCAGGAAGAGAGCGAAGTTCCACGTCAGCATTCGTTATGCAGGAGTGAGCCAATGGTTAAACTCTTGTAAACTCGACGGTGCTGCTGTAACGCTTACGCATCAGTGATCAGCCCACAGACGTGATGAGCCAATGGCTGGGATCAGCCCATGTCAGTCCTGTGGTAAATCCAACAGCACAAAAGCACCCTGCTGCTGCAACTGCTGCTGCTGCTGCAACCTGCACCTGCCATCACTGCACCTGCTGCTGCAACTCCTGATGCACCTGCTGCTCCCTCCCCTTAGAGTCACAAAAGCACCCTCCTGCTGCAACTGCTGCTGCTGCTGCACCTGCACCTGCCATCACTGCACCTGCTGCTGCAACTCCTGATGCACCTGCTGCTCCCTCCCCTTAGAGTCACAAAGCACCCTCCTGCTGCAACTGCTGCTGCTGCTGTACCTGCACCTGCACCTGCCATCCTTGCACCTGCTGCTGCAACTCCTGCTGCACCTGCGGACCCCTCCTTGTGGTCACAACAGCCCCTCCTGCCCCCCATGCTGCACCTGCTGTCACATGAGGCAACGGCAACGGCTGAGAGAGCAGAACTTGCAACTTGGCATTATCAGCACCACCACCAGCAGCACAAGCAGCGAGCTCAGCACTTGTCTGCCATACACAGCCCCTCCAGCGACCCACTGCTGCCGCCTTCGGACCCACTCTCACTACCATCCCACCAACAATTAACAGCCTTGAACACATAAGCACCGCCAGCAGCAGCAGTACCACCGATCAGCTCCCCTCAGCACTTGTCCGCCATACACAGCCCCTCCAGTGACCCACTGCTGCCCCCTCTAGACCCACTCTCACTGCAATCCGACTCACTCGCCACAGCCCTCAACACAGCAGAGCCCGCAGAGGAACCAGCAGCAGCAGGAACGGTAGCCGCAACTGCAGCCCCTGGAGCTTCAGTAACAGCAGAAGCGACTGCAGGAGCAGCAGCGGCAGCACCAACAGCAGCACCAGTCAGCTCAGCTCAGCACTTGTCCGCCATACACAGCCCCTCTAGTCACCCCCTGCTTCCCCCTCTCGACCCACCCTCACTGCAATCCGACTCACTCGCCACAGCTCTGAACACCGCCCCACCAGCAAGTACCACTACCAGTGGCAGAAGCAGGACCCTCAGCACTTATCCGACTTTTGAGGCGCCTCAAAAGCCAGCAAGTACCACTACCACTGGCAGAAGCAGGACCCTCAGCACTTATCCGACTTTTGAGGCGCCTCAAAAGCCAGCAAGTACCACTACCACTGGCAGAAGCAGGACCCTCAGCACTTATCCGCCATACACAGCCCCTCCAAAGACCCATCCTCACTGCAGTCCGACTCACTGGCCACAGCCCTGAACTCAGCCGCACCAGCAAGTACCACTATCACTGGCAGCAGCAGGACCCTCAGCACTTATCCACCATACACAGCCCATCCAAAGACCCATCCACACTGCAATCCGACTCACTCGCCACAGCCCTGAACACAGCCGCACCAGCAAGTACCATTATCACTAGCAGAAGCAGGACCCTCAGCACTTATCCGCCATACACAGCCCATCCAAAGACCCATCCTCACTGCAATCCGACTCACTCGCCACAGCCCTGAACACAGCCCCGCCCGCAGAGGGACCAGCAGCAGCAGCAGCAGCAACTGCAGCACCTGCAGCTTCAGTGACCGCTGAAGCGACTGCAGGAGCAGCGGCGGCAGCACCAACAGCAGCAGCAGTATCAGCGGCAGTGGCATTGAGGGCAGCAGAAGCAGCGGTGGCATTGAGAGCAGCAGAAGCAGCGGTGGCACTGAGAGTAGAGCGGTTGTATTTGAGATGCGCCTGCACAAGGTGACCAGAGGCGAGCGCGGAGCAGAGCGAGAGTTCCCCCGCCAGCACTGCTGCCAGCCACCACCCGCGCCAGCTGCTGCGCGTTCGCTCCTGGCTGTGTCTTGTGCGCGCCCTTCACTCCCAGAAGAGCGAGGGCGGCCGCCTGGAGTAGAGTGGGGGAGCAGAAGGGGGAGGGAGACGAGTTAAGGTCATTTGCTGCTGCCACCACCCGCGCCAGCTGCTGCGCCTTCAGCCCCGGCAGCGTTCTGTGGGCGCCCTTCACTCCCAACAAAGCCAAAGCGGCAGCCTGTGTGAGGGAAGGTAGCAAGAAAGCAGGTAGGGGTGGATAGAGATGAGTTTAATTCGCCTCCAGAGCAGAGCGAGAGCTCCCCGCCAGCACTGCTGCCGCCACCACCCGCGCCAGCTGCCAGCCCTGGCTGTGTCCTGTGGGCGCCCTTCACGCCCAGCAAGGCCAGTGCTGCTGCCTGGAGGAGGGAGGGGATTGGGGAGAGAGGGGAAGTGGGGAAGGCATGAGAGAGCGGATGGGAGCAGAGAGAGAGCTCCCCCGCCAGCACTGCTGCCGCCCACCACCCGCGCCAGCTGCTGCGCATTCGCCCCTGGCTGCGATGCCCACTGCCACTCACCCTCTCCCTCTCCCTCTCCTCACTCTCTCCCCCTCTAGCTCACCTGCGGTGCGAGGAAGGTTCCTCCGCCAACAGTGCCCACTACAATCGCGGGGAGCGGGACAGACGCGTGCAGATAGGTGCCGTTATTGGCGCTCTCAAGCAGTGTGAGGCACTGCGAGCTCTCCACGTTCCTTCTTACTCACAATACCGGGAACATGGAGGGGTACAGACGCGTGCAGATAGGTGCCGTTATTGGCGCTCTCAAGCAGTGTGAGGCACTGCGAGCTCTCCATGTTCTGTGCGGGGTCCTGCCCTCAGCTCTCTACCCACCCTCTCTCTGCCCTGCGGTGCAAGGAAGCTTCCTTGCTTTCTCACCTGCGGTGCGAGGAACGTTCCTCCCCCAACAGTGCCGACTTCAATCGCAGGCAGGGTCACCGAGGCGTGCAGATCTTCGCCGTTATTCGCGGCTTCGAGAAGCGTGAGGCACTGCGAGCTCTCCACGTTCTGCGCGGGGTCCTGTCCCGTGGCGAGAAAGACGGCCGTGACGATGTTGCTCGCGTGCGCGTTGCATCCACCCACCGCGCCCGCCATGGCCGACCCTACCAGGTTCTTGACGGTGTTTAGCTCGACCAAGGCGGGCAACCGTTGTCTTTAGCACAGTTTCGACCTGCGAGAACACGGAGGAGCAGCAGGGGGATCAACGGAGGAATGGGAAGACAGAGGAGTACAGAGCGGTTGAGGCATGCAAAAACCACCAGGCTCTCCACGTTCTGCGCGGGGTCCTGCCCCGTCGCCAGGAAGACGGCCGTGACGATGTTGCTCGCGTGCGCGTTGCTGCCGCCCACCGCGCCCGCCATGGCGGAACCAACCAGGTTCTTCACCGTGTTTAGCTCCACCAGGGCGGCAACCGTTGTCTTTAGCACCGATTCCACCTGGGGAGGACGCAGCAGAGGGGAAAGCATGGGAGACGGGGGTGGGAACACAGAGGGGTGCAAAGTGGTTGAGACACTGCAAGCTCTCCATTGGGTCCTGCCCCGTGGCTAGTACCACACCACCCCCGTCGCCAGGAAGACGGCCGTGACGATGTTGCTCGCGTGCGCGTTGCCTGCCGCCCACCGCGCCCGCCATGGCCGAACCCACGAGGTTCTTCACTGTGTTGAGCTCGACTAGGGCGGCAACCGTTGTCTTTAGCACCGATTCCACCTGGGGAAGGAAGACAGTAGGCGGTAGAGACAAGGTTGAGGACACAGGGGTCGGGAGGGTCGGAAGGTGAAGAGGCAGGAGGAATGGAGGGACAGGGGGGGAGGACAGGGGGTGAGGAGAGGAGGGAATGAGGACGGCAGGGGGGTGAGAAGGACAGGGGAGTGAGGGCAGAGGGGTGAGGAGGACAGGGGGAGTGAGGGCAGAGGGGTGAGGAGGACAGGGGAGTGAGGGCAGAGGGGTGAGAAGGACAGGGGAGTGAGGGCAGAGGGGTGAGAAGGACAGGGGAGTGAGGGCAGAGGGGTGAGAAGGACAGGGGAGTGAGGGCAGAGGGGTGAGGAGGACAGGGGAGTGAGGGCAGAGGGGTGAGAAGGACAGGGGAGTGAGGGCAGAGGGGTGAGGAGGAGGGTAGGGCAGGGTGTCGGGGAGGGCAAGGGGAGTGGGAAAGCAAGGTCGGGGGAGGCGGGGGAGGGTGGGGAGGAGGGCAGGAGGGTGCGGAGGGCAGGAGAGTGCGGAGGGCAGGGTGCCGGGAGGGGAGGAGGGTGAGGAGGCCGGGATTGTAGGGAGAGTAATGGGGGTGGGAAAAGAGGGGCGGGGAAGGGCGGGGAGGAACGTACCGCGTGGCCGGGGAAGGTGGCTTCGCAGACGACAGATTTCCCGCGCCCGTGGATCCAGTTGACCGCAGTAAGGGGCCGGAGAAGGGGGCAAGGGGGAAAGGCGGGGAACGTACCACGTGGCCGGGGATAGTAGCCTCGCAGACGACGGATTTCCCGCGGCCGTGTATCCAGTTAACGGCAGTCGCCTTCTTATCCGCGCAGTAATTCCCCGACATGGATCGAGCAAAGGGGAAAGAGAGGATCGCAGTACGTATGGAGGCAGGGAGCGGGTGGGGGCAGGGCGGGGGGGAACGTACCACGTGGCCGGGAATGGTGGCTTCGCAGACAACAGATTTCCCGCGGCCGTGTATCCAGTTGACCGCAGTCGCCTTCTTGTCCGCGCAGTAGTTTCCCGACATGCTCACAACGCGCATATCCGGGAACGCGTCCCGCAGCGCGCCGAGCACGCTCGCGGTGCCCTTGGAAACCATGTTCATGCCCATCGCGTCGCCCGTGCCGCACTCCACGCGGACAAACGCGTTGCGCCCCGCGACCGCCACGCGGATGCTCCGCAGCCGCGCGAACCGGCTGCTGCTGTTGAACGCTTCCGCGAGCTCCGCCCAGTTGCGCGGACTTTCCGCGTATGCCTTCAGTTCCGCCGCGCGCATGGCGGAGGGGAGCTGCACGGCGGGCGCGCGCGTCATGCCGTCGCGCAGCACGACGCTGCGCGCGCCGCCGGCGGCGCAGATGGCCTTGCAGCCGCGGTTCGTGCTAGCAACGAGACACCCTTCAGTCGTAGCCATCGGTACGAAGAATTCCGTTCCGTCCAAAAGTAACGGTCCCGCTACACCCATGGGGATCGTCACGTGGCCAATCACCATCTCGCAGCACGCGCCGCGGATCACATCGTAGTCGTAATTCTCCAGCGGGAGCCCGGCTAAGGACCGGCCGGTTTTAATCTCCACGGCGCGCCGCCGGACCGCGGCCGCGCGGAGGGTGTTGCCGAGTTGCGCCTCGAGGGAATGCATGGGAATGTCGCCCGCGCGCGACGGCGCGCGCGATATCGTCGTCCGGGAGGTCTTGTAGCGGGACGTCTGGTAACGAGGATGAACTGTCAGACTTAAAAACAAAGGTTTTCAAGCTGTCGGCGCTGGTGTTCGGTGTGATTGTACCGGAAGGGACTGTAGCGGAAGGGGCTGCAGCGGATGGAATCGGAATCGCTTTAGAAGCGCACTCAGGCTGGAAGGACGAAGGCGGGAGATAGGACTTAAAAGAAGGAGCGTCGAGGTGGCGGTGTGTAAGTTCCTTAGTCTGCTCCTGCTGCTGGCTATGACGAAGCTTCCTTGACGATTCCTCCTCTTCCTCCTCCCGCTCCTCCTCCTCCTCATCTTCCTCTTCCTCTTCGTCCGATAGAACGCTCAGTCCCACTGTCGCTTGCACATACCCGATCCCCAGGAAACCGATTAAGTAGATAAACGAACAGATCGCAAGAGTGACAGCAGCTAAGTCCCGCCATATTAAATTATGGAGCTTGTCCGACGAGTCCAATTTCTCGCGCCAGCGACGGAGGAGGTAGCAGCTAGAAAGAACGAACGTTATAACGAAGATGACATTAGTGAGCCAGAGTGGGAGTGGAAGGCCGTCGGAGGCTAGAGTTCTCGGTCGCTTTTTCCGGCTGTGAGATTCGCCCTGATCCGATACAGGCCGACCCGTTAAGAGCTCGTCCCGGATGCGATCGTAATGAGCGATCATGTCTCCTGGTTGTCTGTGGCCTCTATATGTTAGGTAGGGATGTCCGGGTGGCTCCATGATTAGGGTTAGGAATGGTTACGAGCGGTACGCAGTCGGCTTGAAGTAGCCTGGTCAGAATCAGTAACGAATGTCCTAAAGCTCGCGAATCGGATCGAAGGTTCTTCCTAAAAGGCCTAGCTATGGCGGCTCTAAGTATGGAGGCGGCGCTACTTATAAAAGACTCCCTGTGTTAGCGAAAAACACGCTCTCGGTCTAAGATGGTTCGACGATTAGGGGCGAAGTAACGAAGTTAATCGAGGGCCAATTGGGCAAAAAAATAGGCTGTTGGCAGTTGGTCAAATCGCGATCAGTTTGTTCCGGCTAGCATAAGACGGCGTCAAATTGAGCTAACGGCGTCCTTATCAGTCGCATCGCACAAGAGTTGGACCGATATTGGCTAAAAATCGCAGAACGGTGCACTACTGGACAGAAATTGGGCCTTCGATTGGATAAAAACTAGTGATCAGGAACCGAGTAACGTGACGTGCGTGCGCCTCGTAAAAGTGCGCTGCTGCTGCTTGATTTATCCTCCCTGCTATTCTAGGTCTGCTTCATACATCTGCTGTGCTCCCATCGTTGCTGGTCCACATTCTAGAATGCCGCTAGGTATGCTTGGCGGGCGTGTCATACGGGGGGGGGGGCTGGTCGATACAGTAAAACGGCAGGCAGGAGGAAAAAGTGTTTCTGGTGGAAGTGTGCTAGACTGCCCGCCCTTGATTCTAACGAGGGTTCCATGCGCATGGGTTGCCGCTAGCGAAGGTTGGAGGTCACGCGTGTTTACAACTAGGGATTCGTGTGGCTACCACTCTTTTCACATGAAATCGAGGGTGAGTGTGGGGCGCAGAAGTTCTGTAGCGGGCAGAGGCTAAACATGTTATTTTGCTAAGTGAGGAAGACAACTGAAGCGCGAAGATCGACGGCGAGAAATGCTCAGGGGTGTCAATGGGGTGCTCTCAACAGCACGTCGCTGGTTTCTGGGGACCCCTTGAGGAACCGTTGAATCTCGATTTCCAAACAGCCACGTCCTTCCACATCCCGCGAGTGTATGGATGCTCACATGGCGGGAAAGGTTTCATGACCCACCTTGGATCGCGGAAAGCCAAGTTTGGAGATGTCACGTGGCGCTAGGTGAAACGGCGAAGCAATTCAACTAAACCAGCACAGCAAATTTTCCCGCCAACTCGATACAAGGCCGTTTCGAGAAGCCCTACTCCCACCAGTGAAGCGGACCTACACTTGAGCAGCCTGGATACAAGAATACATTCCTACAACTGGTAGTTATTCACCCAATTACGTTCAAGTGGTTGTACGTTGCAATGGACTTGGCACTCTAGAGCAAGAACACATGCGGCAGAATGAAGATGGTGGGCAAGATCGGGGCAAGGATGCGTTAGAGGTGCATGCCAACAAGCATGTGGGCATTGCCTGGAATTGGAATCAACAGAATAGCATTGCTATGTTGGAAAACAGGAACCGTCCAACTTTATCATCTTCACCACCACGCTGAAAACATCAAGCCATACATGGTACGAACGCAAGGGAGCTCTAATGACCGTTTTCTGTCATAGACCTTTTCACACCCCGTGATCTCCAATGATCGGAGCAGCTTAAGGCCTGAAATGTCATTTGGAAAAGTCTGCAGCTGCTTACAGTTACTCAAAGACAGTCGCTTCAACCTGGTCAACTCAGAAAACCTGGGAGGAAGGGAGCAAATAGATGTATCCGAAACATCCAGCCCAGTTAGGCAGGCAAGCTGAGTGAGGGAAGCAGGAAGATGTTCGAAAGCAGGGCACTTGATAAGGCTGAGCTTTTGAAGCCGGGATAATGCACCGATTGCATCAGGGAGGGAAGCCAGTTTTGGAAGTTCAACGAGCTCCAAGCGCGTGAGGTGCTTCAACTGTGTGATGCTTGTCGGCAAATGCTCCAATTCCTCCGAACCCTGTATCCGCAGCTTTCGCAGCTGCTGCAGAACTGATCCGAAATCTTCTGGAAGCTCCTTCAGCTTCACAAAACACCAAATGGTCAAAGTACGAAGCTGCTTCAGAAAAGTCAAAGGGAAAGGCAGCGTCTTTGCATTCTTCGCCAGGTGCAGCACCAAGTGCTTCAGTTGGGACAAGCTTTTACTTGTCGTCACTTTTCGCCCAGTAGTAACCATGCTTAAGCTTAAACCGGTGAGACTTGGCAGCTTGGAAACGTCGGGCATCTGAGTGAGCTTGGCGCAACCCCCCCAGTTCAAGACTTCCAGAGAGCAGGGAAGTGACTCCGGAAATTCTGTCAGTGCAGTGCAGGCATGAATCTGCAGCCGTTTGAGCTTTGTAAGGCACCCCAATCTCCTGGGGAATGAGAACAGCGCGTAACAGTTGTCGATCGTCAAAATCTCGAGGTTGGTCAGACAGGTAACGGAATCAGGAATCTTCTTGAATGAGCAGCCATGGATGTGCAAAATCTTCATGCCTTTCAGCTTCCCCAGGTCCTCTGGAAGTTCTCTGAAGGAGCAACAAGAATCGAGATCAAGCATCGTGAGGGAGGATAATTGGGTGAACGAGGACGGGAAATGGCCCTTCCAGCTGTTGCACAGACACAGGATCTGCAGATTACTCAGCATTCCAATGTCTTCAGGAAGCGTCACTTCTGGTGTATTCTCGATGCACAGAGCCTTAAGCGCTGTCAGGCAGCAAAAACCTTTCGAAAGCTTGGATAGCCGACGCATCTCAGTCAGAATTAACGTCTCCAGCGATGTGAGCAGGCTGAAGGAGTCCGGAAGATGGAAGAGACACACCGAATTCAGCACCAGTTTTTTTAGAGCAGGCAGCTGCCCAAAGCTTTCAGGCAGGCTGAAAATACCGCTGGAATGGGAAACCCTCAGGCTTTCTAATCGGCTCAGCGACGTGATGTTATCAGGAAGCGGGCCGAGAGTCTCACACCACCTAATGTCCAACTCGCGCAGGTTCGGCAGCCGATCCTCAATGTCGTCAGGAAGGCTCGCGAGTTGGTCTGGCCGGGTGATGAGGAGTTGTTTGAGGCTGGTGCATGCCGATCCTGCAGGAAACATTTGGTCGAATTGCGGAGATGATGCGTTGAAAGTCAGCGACTCCAGACAGGGTAGTATTTGCGCGATGGCTAGAGCAGAAAGAAGTTGATCGCTTGAAACTACGCGGGTGCCGTGAGGGAAGGACAGGCTGGTGAGGTTCGGAAGGTGAACGAGAGATGATATCTGCTGGTAGTTCAGTTGCGGACAGGTAATCCAGAGAGCTCTGAGAGCTGAAAGATTGGCCAAGGCAGGAACTTCTAGGGCTGAAGCGTCGGGTAGAGTGAGTTTTTGCAGCCGCGCTAACTGGAAGAAAGAAGCCGGAAGTTTGACCTGTCGATGCAGGCAGCGTAACGAAAGCTGCTCCAGCTGGGTGCAACTTCGGAAGAAATGATCCAAGCCAGCTTCCGTCACGGGATGCAGATGCTTCCTGGCGTCATAATGATCTTGTGTGATCCGTTCCCCCACGTGAAGAGCCGTCAGCTTGGGACACGATGAGGCGAGGTGAAGCAGGAAGGCGTCATCTAGAGTCTCCACGCTCTCGTAGCAAAGATGGAGGTGCGTTAGGTTCGGAAAGCGAGAGACCGCGATGACGAGATCTTGGCGGGAAACGACGCGGACCGATCTGACCAGAAGCGTGGAGACGTGATGCTAGGAGAGAGAGCGCCAGCGACGACAGACGGACGCTACCCCGAGAGTCCACGCAGCATTAGTAAAGGCGGGAGGTGTAGGTAAAGGGCCGGAAGTTTCGCGGAAGTAGTCCTTAATATGCACTCCGGCAGTTGACTTTATCATCGAGTGCGTGAACTCTTGCATATCGTCGCTGTCGGTATCCCACGGCGGAAGCTGCTTGGATCGCCATAAGATCCTGACGAGGATCTCGTCAGGAAGACTGTGAATGTGCGTGCGAGACTTCATTTCAGCAGGACTCGATGTTACCGAGGCGAAACAGGTGGCCACAGTAGTCACACACGAACACGGGAGGAGCTGGGAGGATTTAGCTCAGGAGGATCTCTGAAGGCCGTTATAGGTGATCTGCGAGTTAGACTGGAGTTGAACGAGGGTGGGTACCTGGCTGGATGGGAGATATTCCCAAGGTGAGGCTGGAGCAATAGGTGAATCGGTTCGGTTCGGTTCGGTTCGGAGGACCATGTTCGCAACTTCGCGCCATCTGTGCTTGATCTGACCTGAAACGGCTGAATTGTACGCGGTAAGAAGAATGCATGTCACAAAACCAGTTATAGATTTACAGGTGACAGCATTAACTGCTCAGTAGTTAAGTTGCTGGACATACAAGTATTTCATTGGTCAAGTTGCCACATCAAACTTCCACCTGTTAGCAAGCCTAACAACAGACCAGCAAATCAGCTGGGAAATGAGGCCTGGACACCTCAAAGCACACTGATAATGAGTAGTTCCTGCCTGGCCCCCTGTTGTCATCCACCTGATTGGTTGCCTGCTTTGATTCCTAATAATATTCAGCTCTCCTGGTTATTGCTGGGTGTGTGTTACCATACCAGCATGTCCTGACTACAGTGGATGTGATGGTAATGGGTGTGATAATAACAGGTTTGTTACCAGCCACGACTGATGCACACAGCCGCACCACCAAAACCATTATCTCCAAGCCACGTTCCAGCTCCATCCTCTATTCGCCAGCTGCTCAAATACTTCTCCAATCCCACACCTGACTGCTGCATCCATCCAAACTACTGCCACAGGCTATCTTTGAGTCGTTTCTGAATGCCTCCCACAAACCAAATCCGGCTCCCACAGCAACATCAGTACCAGCAGCTGCTGCCCCACCACTCCTTCCTGCAACAGCATCAGCAGCAGCCGCAGCTGCTCCCTTTCTCCTGCACATCCAGGTGCTGAAATGATCCAGAGGGAGCTGTAACAGCCCCCTCTCGCTCCTAACTTGAAGTCTCCTGTCCACCACAGCTTCCCAACCTGTTGAGGTATCACCCTTAGCCTTCTGAGATATTTTCAGTAGCTTAAGTACCGCCCTCCTTTCCGTCATCTAAAGCCGAAGGCTGGCACCTGCAGCACCCCAACCGCTCTGCTCCATAAATACCCCTCCATCCCTGACACACAACTCCCCACTGCGACGCCAGGGATTCTTGCAGGCTGTACAATCTCACGACTAAATCTTTCATTGTCGTAGGTCGGCATCTGGGGTCCTCCTGAATGCACTCCTTGGCCAGCACACATCCAGCATCCCCACCACCATGCCTTCTTCCCCCACCCCACCTCCTTCCCGCACCCACCTCTTCCCCCCTGCCACCCACTCCCTACTACACACCCCTCACTGCGACGCCAGGGACTCCTGCAGGCTGTATAATCTCACGACCAAATCTTTCATTGTGGGTCGGCATCTGGGATCCTCCTGCACACATTCTTTCGCCATAACATCCATCATGCGAACCACCATGCGCTTGGTGGGCTCGGCGCAAGCAGCGCTGAGCTCATACTCCTCGATGCGCGGCTCTGCCCACGCGATGAGCCCACTCCCCCAGTCCCCGCTCCCCCGTACCCACTCCCCCGGTACCCACTCTCCCACTCCTCGCTACTGCGATGCCAGAGATTCTTGGAGACTGTATAGTCTCACCACCAGGTCCTTCATGGTGGGCCGGCATCTCGGGTCCTCCTGAACGCACTCCTTCGCCAGCACATCCAACATCCGAACCACCATGCGCTTGGTGGGCTCGGCGCAAGCAGCGCTGAGCTCGTACTCCTCGATGCGCGGCTCTGCCCACGCGATCAGCCCACTCCCCCAGTCCCCGCTCCCCCTACCCACTCCCCGTACCCACTCTCCCACTCCTTGCTACTGCGATGCCAGGGACTCCTGGAGACTGTATAGTCTCACGACTAAGTCTTTCATCGTAGGTCGGCATCTGGGGTCCTCCTGAACGCATTCTTTCGCCAGCACATCCAACATCCGAACCACCATGCGCTTGGTGGGCTCGGCGCAAGCAGCGCTGAGCTCGTACTCCTCGATGCGCGGCTCTGCCCACGCGATGAGCCCGTCCGCGCCCTCCCTGTCCGCCACCAGCGCTCCCCTGCGGCCTGTGAGCAGCTCAAACAGAACATTACCCTAGTCAAATGCGTCCTTGGCCATGCCGTCCGGGCCTGGGGGGAGAGTGGAAGGGGCAGGGAGGGAGGCAGTGGGAGGGAGGGAGGCAGTGGGAGGGAGGGAGGCAGTGGGAGGGAGGGAGGCAGTGGGAGGGAGGGAGGCAGTGGGAGGGAGGGAGGCAGTGGGAGGGAGGGAGGCAGTGGGAGGGAGGGAGGCAGTGGGAGGTCTTAAACTTAGAGGCATGAAGTTGTGTCATTCATTAGGTCAAGGGGGGGTACAAGAAGAATGTCGAGAGAAATATTGTACCCCCTAGTGCTAACCCCCATATAGCCTAGACAACCTAAACATAACATATAAATATAACTTGACACACCCCCATATGCGAAATGGGGGATAGCCAGAGCAAGCAAAGGTCACAAGACCAGTCAAGAGAAGAAACAAAACACAGCTCAGGGTGGATCACAAAGTCACCACACACACTGAGCACAAGCAAGAGGCCACAAGGCCAGTTCACATGCAGATATGTATATGCAGCAATAGCACAGTGATCACTACCTAGCAAGAGCAAGCATGCAGGTATATATATATAGATCACAGTACAAGCAGAATCTACAGCAAGTGTGGAAACGTAGGCACAAGGCCCAACAAAGTACAAAAGCGCTGATGATCACCAGACGGAAGCGCCTTGGTGAATATATCAGCAGTGTTGGCCCGAGTGGCCACGTGAGCAAGACGAAGCTGACCCCGCTGCTGCAACTCTCGAGCTAGGAAGTAACGCAGAGCGATGTGCTTCGTTCTGTGCTCCAGTCTGTGCTCCTCACACAAGGCAATGGCGGCCTTGTTGTCGACGTACAGCACTGGAAGAGAACGAGGCCGCTCTCCCAGGTCGGTCAGCAGGTAGGTGAGCCAACATAACTCCTGTGCAGCCATGGCTGTGGCGTAGATCTCAGCCTCACAACTGGAGCTGAGAACTGAAGACGAGTGTGTAGAACGCCAAGAAACAGAGCCAGAGCAAAGGCTGAAGGTGTAACCCTGTGACGACCGCTGTGTAGCCTGGTCGTCAACCCAAGAAGCGTCTGAGTGCCCAGTGAAGACAACTGCGCTCCGCCCTCCAAGCACGAGCCCCATGCCCGATGTACTGCACAAGTAGCGTAGTACCCTCTTAGCAGCATCCATGTGCACCTTTCGGTGCCGACCAGGAGCCACGTAGCGAGCCAGAAGGCCAAGAGGGTACGCAAGGTCAGGACGAGTGCAGGTCATCAGGTACATGAGGCAGCCCACTAGCTCTGGGTAAGGACCACTTGGCTCTACGGACTCGTCCGAAGGTGGAGCTGAGAGCGAGTGACCTGTAGCCAGAGGAGTGTGCTGTGCCGAGGACCAGGTGAAGCCGAAGCGCTGAAGGACCTGCTGCACCATGTGTGACTGAGTCAGTGTGATGGTGCGGCGTGCTCTGTCCCGGGTGATCCGCAAGCCAAGATAGCTTGTCAGCTCACCCAGGTCTGTGCACGTGTGTCTCTTCTGCAGCTCCGACTTCACCAGGGCGAGAGCCTCAGTGTCAGCAGTGGCAAAGACCAAGTCGTCAACGTACACGAGGATGTAGAACGGCGGCAGCGAAGTGTCAGTGCGCAGAAACAGCGACGGGTCAGCAGTCGACGGAGCAAACCCAAGAGCCGCAAGTGTCGTCCTCAGTGTGTCGTGCCACTCACGTGGCGCCTGGCGGAGACCGTAGACCGGCCGCCTGAGGCTCCACTGCGTACCAGGAGGGAACGACCCAGTGAAGCCAGGTGGGCGGCGCAGCCAGATCTCCTCGTGCAGGCTGCCCTGTATGAAGGCTGTGCTGAAGTCAAGAGAGTGAAGCTCGTAGTCACGCTGAGCGGCAACGTGCAGCAGCACCCGAAGAGTGGTCATCTTAGGGGTGGGGGAGAAGGTCTGGAAGAAGTCTACTCCCTCTCGCTGACTGAAACCTCGTGCAACGTAACACGCCTTGAAGGCAGGCAGAGAACCTGGCGGCCGCTTCACCCTGAAAATCCACATGCCACTGACGATGTTCGCCCCAGGTGGGGGAACCTCGTCGACGTAGGTGCCTGTGGACTTCCAGGATGCCATCTCTGCGTCCATGGCTGTCTGCCATTGAGAGGAGTACTCACCCGCGATCGCCTCAGCGTAAGAGCGCGGGGTCGGGATGTCTGGAGCATCCGGGTCTCCCTCAGGGGCAAGCAGCATGGACACGAGATGAGGCGCAGCGGCTGCAAGACACTCAAGGTCCTCCTGCCTGTCCTCAAGGACGTCCGTGCCAAGAGCACACTCACCCCCGACGGACGGAGGACAGACAGACTCAGACTCAGCAACAAGACTAGCGGCGTAGTCTAGACGACAGGCAGCAGCAAAGTCAACAAGCTCAGCAACTAAGGCAGACGAAGCAGCAGACTCAAACGACGGGTCAGTGACAACAGTGGCTAGCAGACGCGTGACAGTAGGGTGCTCAGCACGAAACCGGTCAGACTCGGGGTCCGCAACGACAGGCAGAGAAGACGCAGGAGGGGACGGCAGAGGAACACGCTGTGGAGGAGAGGAAGGACGACGGACTACGAGGTGGGTGTCGGGGACAGCCGGCAGACGCGGACGAGGAACACGACGACCGGAACGACCAGAACAGACAGGCGAGACAGGACGCGACACAGGCTCACGACGCTCAGTAAGACTCCCTAGCTGCTCAGTGTAAGGAGAAGGAACAGGCAGCGGTGAACCAGGCTGCAACGGAAGACCAGTAGACGAAGGGAGACTAAGAACCTGGCGAAGCACAGAGTCAGGCGGTGGCTGAGACGACGGAGACGGTGGAGCGAAGAACAGGCGCGGCTGTGCAGTGACACCAGCACCAGCAGCTCCAGTACTCCCAGCAGCTCCAGTACCTCCAGCAGCTCCAGAACCTCCAGCGCCAGCACCCTCAGCAGCTCCAGAACCTCCAGCTCCAGCGCCACCAGCGCCAGTACCTCCAGCAGCTCCAGAACCCTCAGTGCCAGCTCCTCCAGGACCAGCTCCACCAACAGCAGCACCCCCAGAACCGGCACCTCCAGTCCCAGGGTCTCCAGCCTCAGTGCCTCCAGCAGCAGCACCCTCAGACTCAGCACCTCCAGTCCCAGCAGCTCCAGTACCTCCAGTACGAGCACCTCCGGGACCAGCACCACTCCCAGCTCCAGTGACGACAGCAGAAGTACCTCCAGCGGCAGAGCCCCGAGCTCCAGAAGCGCGACCCTGACGGCGACCGTACCAGTCGTGCAGCTGCTGCGAGGTGAGAGGCACACGCGGACGAAGGCGGCTACTCCAAGGAAGCCGCGCAACAGCAGACTCAGAACCCTCAGCGCCAGAACCCGCAACAGCTCCAGAACCTCCAGCGCCAGCACCCTCAGCAGCTCCAGAACCTCCAGCTCCAGCGCCACCAGCGCCAGTACCTCCAGCAGCTCCAGAACCTCCAGCGCCAGCACCCTCAGAAGCTCCAGAACCTCCAGCTCCAGCGCCACCAGCGCCAGCACCTCCAGCAGCAGGGCCCCTAGCTCCAGCAGCGCGACCCTGACGGCCAGCGTACCACTCAAACAGCTGCTGTGGGGAGAGAGGGAGTCGACGACGAGAGTGCACCGGCGAGGCACCAGCGGAGCGACTACGGAGACGGCCGCTCCCGGGAGACTGCTCACCAGACGCCTCAGCGCCCCCAGGCTCAGCACCCCCAGACTCCTCACACCCAGGCTTAGCACCTCCAGTCTCCGCACCCCCAGGCTCCGCACCCCCAGGCTCAGCACCCCCAGGCTCAGCACCCCCAGGCTCAGCACCCCCAGGCTCCGCACCCCCAGGCTCCGCACCCCCAGGCTCAGCACCCCCAGCAGCAGCACCACCCTCAGCAGGACCTGAGTCACCAGTGACCTCAACCTGAGGAGGAGGGTCTACCTGAGACACACCTGAAGGAGCAGGACCGGGAGCGGGGAGGGGGTCTACCTGGGGAGCACCTGGAGCGAGGAAGAGCGGCGGGGGGGGGAGAGGGGCAGTGCGGTAGGGGAAGAGACTGTAAAAGGGAACCGGCTCGTCGAACGTGACGTCCTGAGAGGGGAAGACACGGCGCGAGGTGGGGTGGTAAAACTGCCAACCAGGCGCGTCAAGGACAAAGCCAAGGAAGACACAGGGAACAGCGCGGGCGGAGAGCTTGTCCGCAGTGGTATCGCGGACAAAGGCACGAGCATCCCAGACCCGGAAACGCGACGCATCGCCAACCTTCCCCGTCCACAGCAGTGTGGGCGAGGTCTCCGGCAAGGAGACACGGGGCCAGAGGTTGAGCTGATGCGCGGCGTACCGGACCGCAAACGGCCACAGAAAATGGGGGGGCAGCCGCATGGATCATGGAGGTACGAGCGACCTCCATGACCAAGCCAATGCGGCGCTCAGCAACCCCATTCTGCTGCGGAGAGGCCGGAAGCGTGAACGACTGGCGGATGCCGTGCTCCGTGCCAAGAGGTCTGAGGAGAACTCACCACCTCTGTCAGAGTGCAGACGCAGGACAGGAAAGTCCGACTGGAACCGCTCGCGGAGCTGGAGACGAGTAGCGCGGATCCAGGGGATCAAAACATCAGGGACCTCCCCCTTGCTGCGCAAGGGGAAGACCGTGGTGTAACGCGTGTAGTCGTCGACGACCAGCAGGAAGTACCGCTCGCGGCCCTGTCCACGGACGCGGGCTTGGCCCCACACGTCCAGGTGGAGAGTCTGCAAGGGAGCCTCTGTGGGAGGGAACGAGGAGGAGTGAGGAGCGGCGCGCTGCCGCCCCTCGACACAGGGAAGACAGGGAGGAGCAGGCGAGGGTGGGAGGGGAGGGAGAACCCTGGGAAGACCAGAGACAAGGACACGGCGGTGCATGCTGCGAAGGCGCTGCACCGAGGGGTGACCAAGGCGGTGGTGCCAAAGGACGGTCTCGTGCGACAAGGCGCGACACGAGCAGGGGGCCGACAACTGACCTGACGCAGACGCAGACGCAGCTACCTGAGGGGACTCAGTGGTCAGTGTGTACAGGCCCGACCCCGGCTGTCGAGTGAAGGTAGCCAGGTGATGACCCGTCTGAGCACACGTGCAGTGTGTCACACGCTCGTAGGCAGGGGTGAACTGGTGAACACCCGCGTCCTGGAGCGCAGAACCCGCCACCAAGTTCGTAGAAAACGAGGGGAGGTAAAGACCCGACAGTGTGCCGGACGGGACAGCAGGACAGGGGAGGACAGTGGTGGAGGTCGCACGGACTGGACCCCCAGAGGGGTCTGCCAGAGAGACTGCAATCGGCCGACTGAGCGGCGTGAGGGTGGTGCTGTCGCGAAAGAAGGAGCGAGAAGCACCGGAGTCAAGTGTGAAGGTGTAAAAGGCCTCAGCAGGCGCAGTACCAGAGAGAGCAGTCTTACCAGCACCTAGGGCAGCAGCCTCACCAGCACCTAGGGCAGCAGCCTCACCAACACCTAGAGCAGCAGGCTCTATACCTGGGTCAGGCGGTACGCACAGGTAACAGACACCGGCAGCACTAGTAGGCAATGCATACATGGCAGTGAGAATAGCATCATAGTCAAGAGCAAATACATCCACACTCTGCCTAAGCAGCTCCAGCCAGGTGGGGAGCTCAGCCTCGTCGCCAAACTCGGTACGCCAGGCGTCGCTCAGACGGGCGAAGCAGCGGGACTGTGTGTGACCAGGTGTCCCGCAAGGCTGACCAGCCCGATCACCAGTGCGAATGACGTACGGGCAGCGAACGGGACTCAAAGACCCTCTACTCTGAGCGTACCACTCGTGAAGCTGCTGGGAAGTAAGTGTCTCGCGTTGACGCCGCTGCAGCTGCAGCTGACCACTGCCAGACGCTCCCAACTGACCAGCTCCAGGGCGACAGCTACGACGGCTACCGCCACAACCCCAATCAGCATACCACTCACGAAGCTGCTGGGGCGGGAGAGACTCGCGTGGATGTCGCTGGAGCTGCATCTGGCCACCGGCAGTAGCAGCAGTAGCAGTAGCAGTAGCCTAGCAGTAGTAACAGAAGGAGCAGCAGTAGCAGCGCGGGCAGGGCAGGTGCGGCAGGTGCGGCAGGCAGGCAGGCAGGCAGACAGGCAGGCAGGCAGGCAGGCTGGCAGGCAGGAAGATGGCGCGGCAGCGCGCTAACAAGGCAGGTGCTCACCAGGCGGGAAGGGCAGGCGCACGCCGGGCGAGCAGGGCCGGCGCTCGGCGGGCGGCTGCTCTGGGTCCAGGGGCGGCGTCGCGGGTCCAGGGGCGGCTGCACGGAGTCCAGGGGCGGCTGCACCAGGGGCGGCTGCTGCATGGGGCCAGGGGCGGCTGCTCTGGGTCCAGGGGCGGCTGCTCGAGGGTCCAGGGGCGGCTGCACCAGGGGCGGCTGCTTCAGGGGCCAGGGGCGGCTGCTCTGGGTCCAGGGGCGGCTGCTCCAGGGGCGGCTGCTGCAGGGGCCAGGGGCGGCTGCTCTGGGTCCAGGGGCGGCGCTCGAGGGTCCAGGGGCGGCTGCTCTGGGTTCAGGGGCGGCTGCTCTGGGTTCAGGGGCGGCTGCTCCAGGGGCGGCTGCTTCAGGGGCCAGGGGCGGCTGCTCTGGGTCCAGGGGCTGCTGCACCAGGGGCGGCTGCTGCAGGGGCCAGGGGCGGCTGCTCTGGGTCCAGGGGCGGCTGCTCGAGGGTCCAGGGGCGGCTGCACCAGGGGCGGCTGCTTCAGGGGCCAGGGGCGGCTGCTCCAGGGGCGGCGTAGCTGGTGCAGGGCAGCGCGCGGGTCCCACAGGTGCCGTGACGGGCGACGGGGGGCAGCGCGTCGTCACGGGAGGAGGCGACGCGCGGGGCCGGCGGCAGGCTAAAACGAGGCAGGAAAACGGGCTACGCGGGCGGCGGACGCGGCGCGCAGGGCTTAAGCGGGCCGCGCTCGGGCGGCTTACACGACGCGCGGGCCGGCGGCAGGCTGCGCGGGCGGCTGACGTGGCGCGCGGGGCCGAAAACAGGCTAAAAACGAGCCTAAACGGGCCGCGCGCGGGCTGTTTAAGTAGCGCGCGCGGGAAAAAAAAGAGGCCGCGCGCGGGCAGCCGAGGCGCGCGCGGGCAGCAGGCAAGGCAGGCAAGGTAGGCAAGGTAACGTTGTAGTGGGTGGGCCCTTATCTTAGGTCCTAAAGACCTCTAGGCTCTAGATACCATCTTAAACTTAGAGGCATGAAGTTGTGTCATTCATTAGGTCAAGGGGGGGTACAAGAAGAATGTCGAGAGAAATATTGTACCCCCTAGTGCTAACCCCCATATAGCCTAGACAACCTAAACATAACATATAAATATAACTTGACAGGAGGGAGGGAGGCAGTGGGAGGGAGGGAGGCAGTGGGAGGGAGGGAGGCAGTGGGAGGGAGGGAGGCAGTGGGAGGGAGGGAGGCAGTGGGAGGGAGGGAGGCAGTGGGAGGGAGGCAGGCAGTGGGAGGGAGGGAGGCAGTGGGAGGGAGGCAGGCAGTGGGAGGGAGGGAGGCAGTGGGAGGGGAAGGCACACGTCCTTGGCCTGCTCAAACAGCACCACCCCGTGGTCAAACACATCCTTTGCCTAGTCAAACGCCGTCAGGGCCTTGATGGGGGGGAAAGGGGAGAGGCAGGGGCGGGGAGAGAACAGCACAGGGGGGGGGGATGGTAGAACTGATGTGTCGGCAAGCCGGGCAGGAGAGCGTGAGTGGAAAGCCCGTCCGCCCCATGAGCAGCTCAAACAGCACCACCTCAAAGTCGAATGCATCCTTGGCCATGCCGTCAGGGCCTGGGAGGGGGAGAGGGGAGAGGCAGGGGCAGAGAGGGAGGCAGGGCAGGAGAGCATGAGAAGCCTATGCGCCCCGTCAGCAGCTCAAACAGGACCACTACAGAATTTGATGCCTCCTTAGCCATGCCATCTGGCCCTGTGGGGGTCAAGAGAAGGGGAGCTGGCAGGTGGGATGGGATGGAGAGTGTGTTGGTACAGTGCCATCGTCGTATGCATCCTTGGCCATGCTGCCAGGGCTTGCGGTGGGGGGTGGGGAGTATGTGAGTGGCAGGGGCGGGAAGAGATGCAGGGGCACAGGGAGGGAGACAGTTGGAGGGAACATCCAGCATACGCACCACCATGCCTTCTTTCCACAACCCCCCACCCATCCCCACAGCCACGCACTCTTTACTGCCCCCTTCCCACCACAACCTCATTGCGATGGCAACGACTCTTGGAAACTGTATAGTAATATCTACCACCGGGTTTTTCATGGTTGGTAGGCATGTACGGTATGTACAGGTGGGTTTCCTCATCAACACATTTTTTTAACCTCACACCTCTATGTACTGCGTCGCTTACAGTTGCAGCGTATTTCGAATGTGTTTTTCCAGCAAACGTTTTTCAGCCTTTTTGAATTAGCAGTAGTGAATATGAGGCAGTGAAGCAGAAAGACGTCTCAATGTTGCTCAAAGGGTCAGGAGAATTTCATTTCGATGGCTGGATGATGTAAGGTCACTCGCGATTTTACCATTGTAAGTCTGTCTTCGCTTGATTAAAGATGGGTAATAATCTACACTGTTTATCTGTTTGTGGCCATAATACCCCAGCATAGAAGCATTTTCTGCTGGACCCAAGTTTCACAGCCGGTTCTTTCATGTACTTTCATTCGGACATCATCTGACATACGGTACTAAAAAGAACAGAGACGAGATAAGGTAGGAGAGGGCGAGGAGAGTGGGAAGAAACTAGGGAAGGGCAACAGAGGTGAAGAACTGGGAGGGAGACACCTAAAACAGCTTGATAGAGGGGGAACTGGGGTAGACAACAGCAGGCACCATAACGGAAAGAGGATTACAATATGTACCACAACAGGCGCGTAGGAAAAGCCGAGGAGGGGAGGAGGGAGGGATACTCCAGTGGAAGGTGACAGTTGTGGATTGCGGCAATACAACTATGGGAGAAGCAGTAGAGAAGGCGTGGACGAGGAAGAGGGGGAGCAGTCGGAGGTGCGATCAGGGGAAAAGGGTACATGCAACCTCCGATACAAAATGCATGTTCATCCATTCGCAATGTTGGGTATTAAACCGTTTATTAAGAGATAACAGTAATAAAACTGAAAAGCTTCCCAACGTGAAGGGGGAAGTGACAAACCTAAAAATGCAAAAACTTCACCTTCTGAGCGTTAATAGACCTAAGTTTCGCCTGTTGCCACTATTCACTCGTCAGCAGCAGGTGCAGCCTCGACAACCTCGTCAACAACCGCGGGAGCCTGCACGGGAGCTGGTGCCAGCTCCGCCTCGAATTTCCGAACGTAAGAGGAAAGAGGAGGTCCGGAGTACGCCTGTTCTTGAGGTGCAGGGTCTGATCCACCGAGAGCGAAGAGCACGGCTGCTGCGCCGGCCAGCGCTGCGGCAGCGCCGACAACGTTCAGGACCACACCGGAGCCGCCGGAGTTACCCACATAGATAGTAGGCTGCAGGCGAAACATAGACATAGACAATAAAGCTCATTAATTCTCGCTAACGATTGCGACAACAGGTAGCGACTGCTAAGATGGACCGGCTCTTTTCGAACAAGTGCAACCAGCACTTATGATAGTTTAATTGCCATTGTCCAGCTGTGATTCGTCGCAAAGCCTGAGATTGGCAAAGCTTGTGCCTTTGACTCTCACCTCAACGGCGTAGATGTTCTCTTGACCGGCAGTGTCCTTCTCCACATAGCCGGTGTAGTCGTTTCGCTCCGCACGCACAGTTAATCTCTGCAAGGTCAGTCAGAGGTAACACAATTGAGTCAGAACACATCAACCCTGAATTGAACTATTTAACGTTAAAAATGCCGAGCTCCGGACTGAAACTCTCTCCCAGGTTACGACTATGATCAGGGAACGCAGAAGCTTACTCTTTGGGGAAATGACACGACAGCGGGCCCTTGTCGGAGGGATGACACGTCGGCCTTCACGAGAGCCCCAAGCGAGAGCTTGCACTGGAGAGAGGTAGCGGCCATGGCGTAAATGTTACGGTATACGTGCGTAGACAAAGGAAGGTAATGTGGAGGACACAGCTACTGGTAGAAAAAAATATTTTGGACAGAGAAGTTCAGCGATGCGATCTAGGAAATTTGCTACCAGGCTGGTACAAGAAACTAGGATGAGAGAAACGTTATATGTTCACCAAATGAGAGAGTGACTGTCTTCTGAAGCAAGTGAAATACCGAAGAATGATGACCATTTAGAAACGAGCGACAGAAACAGGTGAATGGAGATGAACATGCAACGGCAGGTGGCGCGACGCTGAGCTGTCAGGAACCACGTCACCATATCTATTGAAGGAAAATAGACGGTTTGGGTGAAACATGATGACCACGTGGCGGAAGCAAGTCCACCTCCAGGTGGCCGGTCAGCCCTGTGAGTGATAAAGCAGAAGCACGATGATTCGTGTTTGCTCTGTCCACGTTCCTTCCTGCGAAGGCTTCCCAGGTTTGAGGCAGTCGTTTTCTCTGTCCAATTGGCGGTAATCCGCGCTATAGACTGCACTGGCTATGGTGCAGGAATACAATTGGACGTGTTGCTACATGGAGCCACTGGCGATCTCATTTGTTGCTACATAGACTATAATGCTCTAAAGCTCAGTTTGTATCAGGAAATTATTTCTGTCACGATGAAAAGACAATGATTAATAAAAATCCAAGTATAATAATGATCCAAACGTAATGGATATTCCAACTATGAAGTAGTTGAATTCCAGTATCAGTTGGATTGTGCAAATAAGCATGAAAGTAGACTACGTGTACTGAAACATATAGCATGTCGAAACGCTCTTCACCAAGAGTATAGTTCCGTAATGTCGGTAAGGAAGGAGCTGTTGGGGATCCTCCTTTCAGTTGTCCCAACCAACTGAAAGCTGCGCGAAGGCTGTTGGAAAGCTGCTTTGTCGTGATGAGCAGTAACAGACCTTAGCGACAGGCGTAAACCAGTTTCTCGTTTATTCGCAAAGCGTTACAGCATACTTCAAATTCGCACGACCGCCCGCCTCCCTATCACTTCCAGACCACCAGCTCCTTCACGAAAGTGCACACCGCGAAGAATTTCCGTGAAACCCACTGCAGTGAAAACAAATTGTAGACACTCATGAACACCTGTACAGTGACCCCCTTTCGCAAGTAGAAGTCCATTTGTACGGTTTTAAACTTGTTTCCAAAGCATCTTGGAGTCACAAACACAAGGGTTGTGAGGGGGTCAAACCTTCTAGTGGCAAGAGAGACACCTCGAGCAGACCCCTAAAAAAATGCCGAAAGGATATTCCCAAGGTCAGCACTTCGAGAACTGTTCACCGGGGACGACGATGTTTGTCCCCCAAGCTGCTGCTTTCAACCACTCGTGCGGAACCTTTCCCCAGCTACTCCCCATCTCCCCCTTCCTGCATTTCAACTCCCCCACTTCCCCGTCAGGTCGCCAGTTTCCAAGCCCGCACCTTCACCGATGCTCTTCCCCCAAGCTCTCTATTCCCGCAACATCGCATGGCACAATCAGGCCAACTCCGTACCGCAGGCTTTCTGTCTCCTGGTTCTTCCCCCCTCGATCTTTCCGCCGTTCTCGTCAATGGCGGAACCAACAGTAGGCATTTCTGTCGTCCTCCCAATCCAACCTAATCCAGCTATTCGCTCGCTCTTGCTGTCTCCTCAAAGCTCTCTAGAGTCACTCGACTGACAATTCGTCCCTGATTTCTCCTTATCATTTGGAAGCTTCCGATACAATCCATAGTTTCTAGCCTCCATACGTCACGTGTCAGTACGAACCCTAACATTGTGAAGGGAGAGTACGTGAGTGCGCGTCCCGGTCCGATAGTCTCGCTCCTCTCTCTTCAGTGTTTCGGATAGAGACTATTTTGTGGGACGCCTATCTTACAGGTACACTTCTGCGTGTGTCGCGAAGGCTTTACGCTGTCGTGCGGTTTGCTGTATCGCCGTCTCATTGCCCCGCTGCTTCTTCATCTTCCGCTTCTTCGCACTTCCGTAGTCAGCCCAGCTGTCGTTTTATTTCTTCTTCACTTGCTTCCTCCACTATTTTCGGAGCACTCCCTCCGGTTTTTAGCCAGAAAAGGCCTTGCTATGAAGGCCCGGCTTTCACTACCTTTCCCTCCCTGTCCCGAGCCTCTATTTCCTTTTGAGGCACCACAAGCACTCCTTCCGTCCCTGCCCCCCTGCGTCTGTTGTCCTGTCGTGAACCGTACAGGGAGCTTCATTCGTCGTACACCGCCTGTAGCTCGCGCACGCGTAAACGAGGACGAACTTAGCGGGACACAGCACATTGGGGTTCCTTCAATTATAGCCTGGTTTGGTTTCTTCCACCGATTCCTGTTCAACATTGTCTTGCCGGCTCGGCATTGCAGAATGCTGACACATCATCGCGACGATGCCACGTCATCATGACGGTGGCACGTGAGCACCGATGGCGATACGGACGGCTGCGTATCAGGCGCCCTTTCTTGCCCCGTTGCGGATTCAAGTCTCTCGTTCAAGACTTTCGTGCAAAGCCCACCATTCGTCACTGCAGCATCATCCATCCCTTAGAGTCACATCCGCGTTAATGACAGGCTCATGGCCCTAGGTGCTCGTTAAGGAAAACGCTTAGGCTGGACTCCCACTGGCAGGAGCGGCCTCGTTATGGAGTTATTATGCTACACTCGATGTCGACGTGCGTCACTCCGTTTAGGCTTTCGGTAGACGCAAGACTTACTTAACTAATTCAGTAACAATCGCCATCTTGTCGTTATCAGCAATTAGGGTAGCAGGGGCCCCAGCAGTCGGCAACGCCAGCAGTAGCAGAAGCAGCACGCAGCAGCACGCAGCAGCAAGGCAGTATTTATTGGCGCAGTTGGCTGGTTTCGATACAGTTAGCATCATCGTCAAAACCCGTTACTATTCTCATCAGCATTTACAAAGCGTATAATAACACTTGCAGGCTGATAGTGTTTCAGCCAGGCCGAGCGCCGGGTTCCGATATAAGCACCAGACGAGGATGGGGGACGCGGACCAATCAGACAGCAGCGACACAGAGACGGAAAGGCCATGGTTCCCCGAGCCTCGAGTCAACGGGGCGAATCTTGCCGAGCCTATAGGCACGGTAGCACGTTCGGGACAGTTGGGAGCGCCACTTGGGATTGCGCATTTGGCATTGGGTGCCGTAACGGCTGCTATGTCAGCATACAGCCCCGGAAAAACGGGGAAGGGGGAAGGGGACGGGCTGCCACGTGTCCGGATGCTGAGCTGTCTACATGCGCTGTTCACGCAATTGCATGACCCGGAACAAGTCGAAGAACCGGAAGGAGGTATGTGGAGTTGGGTTTGGGAGGTAAGTTGAGTTAGGGTTACGAGGTATGTGGTTTGGGGGAAGGGTGAGGGGGTATGTGAAGTTAGGGTTAGGAGGGGATGTGTGGAGTTAGGGTTACGAGGTATGTGGTTTGGGGGAAGGGTGAGGGGGTATATGAATTTAGGGTTAGGAGGGGGTGTGTGGAGTTAGGGTTACAAGCTACCTGATTTAGGGTTACAAGGTATGTTTAGTTAGGAATGGGAGGAGTTATGTAGCGTTAAGGTAAGGGGATACGTGGATTACGGGTTAGGAGATACATGGAGTTAAGGTTATAGGGTACGTGGAGAGTTGGGTTAGAAAGTACGTACAATAAGTAGAGTTAGAAGGTACATCACACAAGGGGTGGTCTGCAGAAAGGCAGTGCGCAATTTGCACTTGCCTCCTGCCCGCTTATACCTGCCTTTCATTCCCCCTACCCCCTACCCCCTACCCTCTCTCTCCCCATGTCCCTGCGCCCCTCCCCGCCCCCTCTCTCCCCTTCTCCGCCTCCCCCCTTCCCTTCTTTCCCTTCCCCTAACCGGCACACCCTTCTCCCCCACCCCGACGACCCCCCACTTTTCCCCTCCCACGCCCGCCCCCTCTTTCCCCCCCTTCACCCACACCCCTCTTCCCCCTCACCCCCACCCCACGCCCCCACCTTTCCCCTCCCACGCCCACAACCCCCCTACACACAGAGAACGGGCGGGGCGGGGGGAGGTCGCAACTGGACAGTGCGGAGCTGGACGTGCTCGAGAAGGCAGTTCGCATCCTGCACCTGCGCTACCGCTCCTGCCTGCGCCCGCTCCCCCTCAACCCGTTCCCCTGCTCCGCTTCATCACCACTCACCCCCCATTCCCCTTCTCCCGCTTCCCCTCTCCCCCTGTAACCCACACCCCACGCTCCCACCTTCCCGCTCCCCCCTCCCACGCCCACAACCCCCCTACACACAGAGAACGGGCGGGGAGGGGGGAGGTCGCAACTGGACAGTGCGGAGCTGGACGTGCTAGAGAAGGCAGTGCGCATCCTGCACCTGCGCTACCGCTCCTGCCTGCGCCCCCTCACCAAGGGGCGCCTGCCCTCCGTGACTGAGCTGAGGGAGCTGAGAGTGAGCGCTGAGGCGCTGGGAGTGAGATCTGCCCTGCTGTGCCTCGACAGAATACCCAAGGTGGGTGGTTGGGTGGGTGGGCCTCAGTCTCTTTGTAGTAACAGTACACAGTACCTGAACTGCACCCCCCGCTCACCAAGGGGCGGCTACCCTCGGTGACTGAGCTGAGGGAGCTGAGAGTCAGTGCTGAGGCGCTGGGGGTGCGATCTGTCCTGCGGGACCTGGACGAGCTTCCCCCAGGCAGCGCCTGGCCCGTCTCCTCCTACCGCGTCGGCGCCCCCAGGCTCCACCTGAGAGCGCCCTGTGGACCACCACTAACCCCTCCTGCCCTTCCCCACCCACTCCCACCCTTCTCCACCCCCTCCCGCCGTCTCCCACCCCCTCTCACCCTCCCCCAACCCCCCCACCCCCTCAACCACCCTTCTCCCCCCCTCCCAGGGCGACCCCCGCCGCCTCGCCCTCTTTGCCTTCCGCACATTCGCCCTGCGCGCCGAGCTGGACGCGGAGGCCCTGCGCGACCTGGACGAGCCTCCCCCAGGCAACGCCTGGCCCGTCTCCTCCTACCGTGTCGGCACCCCCCGGCTCCGCGCCCTCCTAGAGGATATGGTAGAGGAGGTGGAGAGCCTATGGAACGCCACCAATAGGACCCTCTATGAGGTTGCTATAGTGCTCGCGCCGGTGCTGGCTCAATACGCGTTGCTGGGGAAGGCGGTGGGGATGGCTATGGAGCAGTACTACGCGCGGCTGACTGTGAGGAAGCACGGGCGGGTGGTTATGGCGGTGGGAGATGAGATTATCCTGTGGGATGATGGGTTGGAAGATGTTAGGGAGCTGTTTCTGGCTGAGAAGGCAGCGGATGAGCAGCCGTTGGGGTCGGCTGTTCGGATCGACAGCATGAATGATTACTCGTGGTTTGTTTCGTGGAATGGGACGTCTGCAGTGGATAATATCCCGAGTGAAGTTTCAGTGAAGAAACTGCTGCATTCGATCGGGGCGCCGACTGCCAGGCTGGCGGGGTTGAGGGCGAAGGATAAGGGGCTGCTGATGGGTGTGACTGTACCGGATGTGAGAATAGAGGCAGAGAAACGGGTGCTGGCGCAGTTGCAATGGGTGGTGGACGGTGGAGGGAAGCTGGAGATTAAAGCCGCTCGGCCGCAGCACCAGGGGATTAGTGCGGGCGTGGGGGAGCGGGAGGTGATTGGGAGGGGGAAGAGAGCGGGAGCGGGGCCGGGGGGAGGGGCGGCGGCAGGGGGTGGTGCAGGAGGGGCGGGGGGGCCGGGGGGAGGGGGAGGGGGAGCGGGGGGAGCGTTGGGGGGAGGAGGAGGGGGGGAAGACAAAGCGCTGCTGAAGAGATCGTTTGCCAAGAGGCTCGAGTCTCTGGATTCAGCAGGTAAGACGGAGAACAGTCCACTGCAGTTTAGCTGATCGATGCTTGCTTTCTGGGCTCAAAGATTGCTGACTGACCGGTCACACATGATTACACATGAGATTACTCATGTATCTGGAGGGGGGGATGACAAGGCTCTGCTGAAGAGATCGTTTGCCAAGAGGCTCGAGTCTCTGGACTCAGCAGGTAAGGCGGAACACAGGTTTGCAGATTCTGCAAACGGTTCTTGAGAATTCTGAAAGCATCACAAACAACCCCTCCCCGCTCTTCCGCACAATCTTGTTTCCACCGCCCCCCGTTCCCCACCAACTAGGCATGGACGAACCCGAGCCAGCTCACGAGATACCCTATGATATGAGGACCTTGTGGAAGCCACCAAGAACTGGGCGGACGACCTGCAGCTGGGGGAGGGGGGCTCCGCGATTGTGTATAAGGGCGCTCTCTGAACCGTTTTTTCATACTTCCACTTTCCCCCACCACTTTCTTCCCACCCAGGCATGGATGAGCCCGAGCCGGCGCATGAAATCCCGTACGAGGATCTCGTGGAGGCCACCAAGAACTGGGCGGAGGACCTGCAGCTGGGGGAGGGAGTGGGGAAGGGGGCTCCGCGATTGAGAATGAGAAACCTCTCTTGACCTTGTCTGCACCCGCCCCTTCTCCCCTCACCCAGGCATGGACGAGCCTGAACCAGCGCATGAAATACCCTATGATGACCTCGTGGAAGCAACCAAGAACTGGTCGGACGACCTGCAGCTGGGGGAGGGGAGGGGAGGGGGGCTCTGCGATTGTGTATAAGGGACCTCTCTGAACCCCTCCGTCTTCCCACATACCTTCTCCCCTGCCCTCACAGGAATGGATGAGCCCGAACCAGCCCATGAAATCCCCTACGAGGACCTTGTGGAAGCCACCAAGACCTGGGCGGACGACCTGCAGCTGGGGGAGGGGGGCTCCGCGATTGTGTGTATAAGGGAGTTCTCTCATCCCTTCGTTCTTTCACACACACCTTATCCCCGCCCGCCCTACACCCCCAGGCATGGACGAACCTGAACCAGCGCATGAAATTCCGTATGAGGATCTCGTAGAGGCAACCAAGAACTGGGCGGACGACCTGCAGCTGGGGGAAGGAGGCTCCGCGATTGTGTATAAGGGCGTGTCGCCGGATGGGGAGTTGTGGGCTGTGAAGCGAGGGAAAAAGGGCGGGCTAACACGGCTGCAGGACTACCACAGGGAGGTAAGATGGGATTGGGGCTGAAGGGAGATGAAGGCGATTGTGTATAAGGGCGTGTCGCCGGATGGGGAGCTGTGGGCTGGGCGGTGAAGCGAGGGAAGAAGGGGGGACTGACGCGGCTGCAGGACTACCATAGAGAGGTGAGACGAGCAAAGAAGCAGGGGGAAGGGCAAGGATGGAGGGGGGAAGGCGGGGCATATATACGTGGATATACCTTATAGGTGGTGTGTAAGGGGGTGGGGCTGGGTGGGGAGCTGTGGGTGGTGAAGAGAGGAATAGGAGATAGGGGAGGGAGGGAAGGTACTTAAGTTGTTTCATCCCAACCTTCTACACCACTTTCACTGCCTCCTTCCCACTCTCCCTCCCCTCCCCTCAGATCGAGGCAGTGTCTAAGATGCTTCACCCGAACCTGGTGCGCCTGATGGGGTTCTGCCATGAGAACGAGGAGCAGGTGTTGGTCTACGAGTATGTGGCCAATGGGACGCTCAGACAACATCTATCCCCATTACAAGGTGAGCCATTCCCGTTATAAGCACCCTTGTTACAGCCTGATGGGGTTCTGCCATGAGAACGAGGAGCAGGTGTTGGTGTACGAGTATGTGGCCAATGGCACGCTCAGACAACATCTATCCCCGTTACAAGGTAAATTCGTTATAAGATTACCCCCAGTACATTCTGCCATGAGAACGAGGAGCAGGTGTTGGTCTACGAGTATGTGGCCAACGGCACGCTCAGATAACATCTATCCCCGTTACAACGTGAGCTGTTTCCGTTGTAAGCATGCTTGCTATGGCCTCATGGCCTTCTTCCATTATCTGGTGACAGAAAAGGTCCTGTCATTTGAGCAGCGGATAGAGGCGGCCTGTGGGGGTGTTTGAGGCGCTTCTGTTGCTCATTCTTCTCGTTTCTTCTCCTCTCCTCTCCCCGTTCTGCTCTTTTGTGCTGATGCGGCTCTGCCTCCCTCCCACTGCTCAACCCCAACGTGTCTCCCATTTTCCCTCGCCAGGTGACACGAAGAAAGGGGGGCTCTCGTATGAGAGGCAGATAGAGGTGGCGATGGGGGTGGGTGGGTGACGTGACACAGAGAAAGGCATGCTGTCGTTCAAGCAGCGGATAGAGGCGGCCGTATGGGTGGCTGAAACCCTCCTGTTGTCCTTTATCTTTCGCTGAATCCTGTGCAGGTGACACAGAGAAAGGGGTTCTCTCGTTTGAGCAGCGGATAGAGGCGGCCGTAGGGGTGGCGGAGGCCCTCCTGTATCTGCATTCGTGCAAGCCTGTGCTGGTGCATCGAGACGTGAAGAGCCTCAACGTGTTCATGGATGACGATCTACAGGTGAGTGGCTGAGAGCGAGTGAGAGGGAGTGAGAGGGAGTGAGAGGGAGTGAGAGGGAGTGAGAGGGAGTGAGGGGGAGTGAGGGGGAGTGTGAGAGAGAGAGGAGAGAGGGAGTGAGAGAGAGGCATGAAAGGAGTGGCTGAGGCCCTCCTGTATCTGCATTCGTGCAAGCCTGTGCTGGTGCATCGAGACGTGAAGAGCCTCAACGTGTTCATGGATGACGATCTACAGGTGAGTGGCTGAGAGGGAGTGAGAGGGAGTGAGAGGGAGTGAGAGGGAGTGAGAGGGAGTGAGAGGGAGTGAGGGGGAGCGAGGGGGAGTGTGAGAGAGAGAGGAGAGAGGGAGTGAGAGAGAGGCATGAAAGAAGTGGCTGAGGCCCTCCTGTATCTGCATTCGTGCAAGCCCGTGCTCGTGCATCGAGACGTGAAGAGCCTAAGAGCCAGAACGTGTTCATGGACGACGATTTGCAGGTGAGTGAAGGAGAGGGGGACGTGAGGGAGTGTGAGAGACGTGAGGAGCCAGAACGTGTCCATGGATGACGATTTGCAGGTGAGGGAGAGGAAGAGAGATTGTGGGGGACACAGTGAGTGATGTTGTGGGAGAGTGAGAGAGACGATGAAACCTCTAGCCGATAGGCGACGATGAAAGCGCCACCACACACACCCTTGTTTGCTTGCTTGCTCGTCCCCCTTTCCTCTCCTCCCCTTGTAACCCTCTCATCCACTCCCCACTCCTCCCACCAGCCGAAGCTCGGGGATTATGGAACCTCAAGTTAATAAGCGGCGATAAGTGCCACCACACACACCCGCGTGGTGGGAAGGGGGCGCTCCTGTTGCCCTCCTTTCCCCTGCCCTCTTTCCCCATGCCTCTCTCATTTTTCTCTTCTCTCATCCTTCTCACCCTCACACCCACTCCCCATTCCCCACTCCTCTCACCAGCCAAAACTCGGGGATTACGGCAACCTCAAGTCGATAGGAGACGATGAAAGCGCCACCACACACACCCGCGTGGTGGGCACACCTGGGTATCTCGACCCGCAGTACTGCCAGACGAGCGTGGTTTCCGTGTGGTCTGATGTGTACAGGTGAGCAGCGTTGATGGGGGGCGCTAGAATTGATGAGACTGGTGGGCACGCCCGGGTATCTGGACCCGCAATACTGCCAGACCAGCATGGTTTCCGTGTGGTCGGATGTGTACAGGTGAGCAGCGGTGGTGGTGGTGGGGGGAATTAGGGAGCAGTCACGACTCACCAGTGTTTGGAAGGGAGGCAGGGAGGTAGGGAAATGGGGAGAACGGGAGAGGGAGGAGGAGAGGGAGTGGTGGGCACGCCCGGGTATCTGGACCCACAATACTGCCAGACCAGCGTGGTTTCTGTGTGGAGTGATGTGTACAGGTGAGGAGGGTGGAGGGGGGGGGGGGGAGAAGAAAGAGGGGCACGCCTACACTACCCCTTTTTCTCATCTTCCCTCTCCCTCCCCCACCTCCCTCCTCCTTCCCCCGTACCTCTCAGTTTCGGAGTCGTCATGCTAGAGTTCATCACAGCCAAGCCGCCGGTGCTGAAGGAGATACCTTCAGCAGCAATCTCACTTCTCTCATTCTCCCTCGTTCTTCCCCTCCTCCCTCCCTGTCTTTCGTGCCTCTCAGTTTCGGAGTGGTCATGCTGGAGCTCATCACAGCCAAGCCCCCGGAGCTCAAGGAAGCACTTTCACCACTCTCACCTATCCTGTTTCTTCCCCCCTCCTCCCTTCACTTCCCCTTCCCGTGTGCCTTTCAGTTTCGGAGTGGTCATGCTGGAGCTCATCACAGCCAAGCCGCCGGTGCTCAAGGAAGCACTTTCACCACTCTCACCTATCCTGTTTCTTCCCCCCTCCTCCCTTCACTTCCCCTTCCCGTGTGCCTTTCAGTTTCGGGGTGGTCATGCTGGAGCTCATAACAGCCAAGCCGCCGGTGCTCAAGGAAGCACTTTCACCACTCTCACCTATCCTGTTTCTTCCCCCCTCCTCCCTTCACTTCCCCTTCCCGTGTGCCTTTCAGTTTCGGGGTGGTCATGCTGGAGCTCATCACAGCCAAGCCGCCGGTGCTCAAGGAAGCACTTTCACCACTCTCACCTATCCTGTTTCTTCCCCCCTCCTCCCTTCACTTCCCCTTCCCGTGTGCCTTTCAGTTTCGGGGTGGTCATGCTGGAGCTCATCACAGCCAAGCCGCCGGTGCTCAAGGAAGCACTTTCACCACTCTCACCTATCCTGTTTCTTCCCCCCTCCTCCCTTCACTTCCCCTTCCCGTGTGCCTTTCAGTTTCGGGGTGGTCATGCTGGAGCTCATCACAGCCAAGCCGCCGGTGCTCAAGGAAGCACTTTCACCACTCTCACCTATCCTGTTTCTTCCCCCCTCCTCCCTTCACTTCCCCTTCCCGTGTGCCTTTCAGTTTCGGGGTGGTCATGCTGGAGCTCATCACAGCCAAGCCGCCGGTGCTCAAGGAAGCACTTTCACCACTCTCACCTATCCTGTTTCTTCCCCCCTCCTCCCTTCACTTCCCCTTCCCGTGTGCCTTTCAGTTTCGGAGTGGTCATGCTGGAGCTCATCACAGCCAAGCCCCCGGTGCTCAAGGAAGCACTTTCACCACTCTCACCTATCCTGTTTCTTCCCCCCTCCTCCCTTCACTTCCCCTTCCCGTGTGCCTTTCAGTTTCGGAGTGGTCATGCTGGAGCTCATCACAGCCAAGCCGCCGGTGCTCAAGGAAGCACTTTCACCACTCTCACCTATCCTGTTTCTTCCCCCCTCCTCCCTTCACTTCCCCTTCCCGTGTGCCTTTCAGTTTCGGAGTGGTCATGCTGGAGCTCATCACAGCCAAGCCGCCGGTGCTCAAGGAAGCACTTTCACCACTCTCACCTATCCTGTTTCTTCCCCCCTCCTCCCTTCACTTCCCCTTCCCGTGTGCCTTTCAGTTTCGGGGTGGTCATGCTGGAGCTCATCACAGCCAAGCCGCCGGTGCTCAAGGAAGCACTTTCACCACTCTCACCTATCCTGTTTCTTCCCCCCTCCTCCCTTCACTTCCCCTTCCCGTGTGCCTTTCAGTTTCGGGGTGGTCATGCTGGAGCTCATCACAGCCAAGCCGCCGGTGCTCAAGGAAGCACTTTCACCACTCTCACCTATCCTGTTTCTTCCCCCCTCCTCCCTTCACTTCCCCTTCCCGTGTGCCTTTCAGTTTCGGAGTGGTCATGCTGGAGCTCATCACAGCCAAGCCCCCGGTGCTCAAGGAAGCACTTTCACCACTCTCACCTATCCTGTTTCTTCCCCCCTCCTCCCTTCACTTCCCCTTCCCGTGTGCCTTTCAGTTTCGGAGTGGTCATGCTGGAGCTCATCACAGCCAAGCCGCCGGTGCTCAAGGAAGCACTTTCACCACTCTCACCTATCCTGTTTCTTCCCCCCTCCTCCCTTCACTTCCCCTTCCCGTGTGCCTTTCAGTTTCGGAGTGGTCATGCTGGAGCTCATCACAGCCAAGCCGCCGGTGCTCAAGGAAGCACTTTCACCACTCTCACCTATCCTGTTTCTTCCCCCCTCCTCCCTTCACTTCCCCTTGCCGTGTGCCTTTCAGTTTCGGGGTGGTCATGCTGGAGCTCATCACAGCCAAGCCGCCGGTGCTCAAGGAAGCACTTTCACCACTCTCACCTATCCTGTTTCTTCCCCCCTCCTCCCTTCACTTCCCCTTCCCGTGTGCCTTTCAGTTTCGGAGTGGTCATGCTGGAGCTCATCACAGCCAAGCCGCCGGTGCTCAAGGAAGCACTTTCACCACTCTCACCTATCCTGTTTCTTCCCCCCTCCTCCCTTCACTTCCCCTTCCCGTGTGCCTTTCAGTTTCGGGGTGGTCATGCTGGAGCTCATCACAGCCAAGCCGCCGGTGCTCAAGGAAGCACTTTCACCACTCTCACCTATCCTGTTTCTTCCCCCCTCCTCCCTTCACTTCCCCTTCCCGTGTGCCTTTCAGTTTCGGGGTGGTCATGCTGGAGCTCATCACAGCCAAGCCGCCAGTGCTCAAGGAAGCACTTTCACCACTCTCACCTATCCTGTTTCTTCCCCCCTCCTCCCTTCACTTCCCCTTCCCGTGTGCCTTTCAGTTTCGGGGTGGTCATGCTGGAGCTCATCACAGCCAAGCCGCCGGTGCTCAAGGAAGCACTTTCACCACTCTCACCTATCCTGTTTCTTCCCCCCTCCTCCCTTCACTTCCCCTTCCCGTGTGCCTTTCAGTTTCGGAGTGGTCATGCTGGAGCTCATCACAGCCAAGCCCCCGGTGCTCAAGGAAGCACTTTCACCACTCTCACCTATCCTGTTTCTTCCCCCCTCCTCCCTTCACTTCCCCTTCCCGTGTGCCTTTCAGTTTCGGAGTGGTCATGCTGGAGCTCATCACAGCCAAGCCGCCGGTGCTCAAGGAAGCACTTTCACCACTCTCACCTATCCTGTTTCTTCCCCCCTCCTCCCTTCACTTCCCCTTCCCGTGTGCCTTTCAGTTTCGGGGTGGTCATGCTGGAGCTCATCACAGCCAAGCCGCCGGTGCTCAAGGAAGCACTTTCACCACTCTCACCTATCCTGTTTCTTCCCCCCTCCTCCCTTCACTTCCCCTTCCCGTGTGCCTTTCAGTTTCGGAGTGGTCATGCTGGAGCTCATCACAGCCAAGCCCCCGGTGCTCAAGGAAGCACTTTCACCACTCTCACCTATCCTGTTTCTTCCCCCCTCCTCCCTTCACTTCCCCTTCCCGTGTGCCTTTCAGTTTCGGAGTGGTCATGCTGGAGCTCATCACAGCCAAGCCGCCGGTGCTCAAGGAAGCACTTTCACCACTCTCACCTATCCTGTTTCTTCCCCCCTCCTCCCTTCACTTCCCCTTCCCGTGTGCCTTTCAGTTTCGGAGTGGTCATGCTGGAGCTCATCACAGCCAAGCCGCCGGTGCTCAAGGAAGCACTTTCACCACTCTCACCTATCCTGTTTCTTCCCCCCTCCTCCCTTCACTTCCCCTTGCCGTGTGCCTTTCAGTTTCGGGGTGGTCATGCTGGAGCTCATCACAGCCAAGCCGCCGGTGCTCAAGGAAGCACTTTCACCACTCTCACCTATCCTGTTTCTTCCCCCCTCCTCCCTTCACTTCCCCTTCCCGTGTGCCTTTCAGTTTCGGGGTGGTCATGCTGGAGCTCATCACAGCCAAGCCGCCGGTGCTCAAGGAAGCACTTTCACCACTCTCACCTATCCTGTTTCTTCCCCCCTCCTCCCTTCACTTCCCCTTCCCGTGTGCCTTTCAGTTTCGGAGTGGTCATGCTGGAGCTCATCACAGCCAAGCCCCCGGTGCTCAAGGAAGCACTTTCACCACTCTCACCTATCCTGTTTCTTCCCCCCTCCTCCCTTCACTTCCCCTTCCCGTGTGCCTTTCAGTTTCGGAGTGGTCATGCTGGAGCTCATCACAGCCAAGCCGCCGGTGCTCAAGGAAGCACTTTCACCACTCTCACCTATCCTGTTTCTTCCCCCCTCCTCCCTTCACTTCCCCTTCCCGTGTGCCTTTCAGTTTCGGAGTGGTCATGCTGGAGCTCATCACAGCCAAGCCGCCGGTGCTCAAGGAAGCACTTTCACCACTCTCACCTATCCTGTTTCTTCCCCCCTCCTCCCTTCACTTCCCCTTCCCGTGTGCCTTTCAGTTTCGGGGTGGTCATGCTGGAGCTCATCACAGCCAAGCCGCCGGTGCTCAAGGAAGCACTTTCACCACTCTCACCTATCCTGTTTCTTCCCCCCTCCTCCCTTCACTTCCCCTTCCCGTGTGCCTTTCAGTTTCGGGGTGGTCATGCTGGAGCTCATCACAGCCAAGCCGCCAGTGCTCAAGGAAGCACTTTCACCACTCTCACCTATCCTGTTTCTTCCCCCCTCCTCCCTTCACTTCCCCTTCCCGTGTGCCTTTCAGTTTCGGGGTGGTCATGCTGGAGCTCATCACAGCCAAGCCGCCGGTGCTCAAGGAAGCACTTTCACCACTCTCACCTATCCTGTTTCTTCCCCCCTCCTCCCTTCACTTCCCCTTCCCGTGTGCCTTTCAGTTTCGGGGTGGTCATGCTGGAGCTCATCACAGCCAAGCCGCCGGTGCTCAAGGAAGCACTTTCACCACTCTCACCTATCCTGTTTCTTCCCCCCTCCTCCCTTCACTTCCCCTTCCCGTGTGCCTTTCAGTTTCGGAGTGGTCATGCTGGAGCTCATCACAGCCAAGCCGCCGGTGCTCAAGGAAGCACTTTCACCACTCTCACCTATCCTGTTTCTTCCCCCCTCCTCCCTTCACTTCCCCTTCCCGTGTGCCTTTCAGTTTCGGAGTGGTCATGCTGGAGCTCATCACAGCCAAGCCGCCGGTGCTCAAGGAAGCACTTTCACCACTCTCACCTATCCTGTTTCTTCCCCCCTCCTCCCTTCACTTCCCCTTCCCGTGTGCCTTTCAGTTTCGGGGTGGTCATGCTGGAGCTCATCACAGCCAAGCCGCCGGTGCTCAAGGAAGCACTTTCACCACTCTCACCTATCCTGTTTCTTCCCCCCTCCTCCCTTCACTTCCCCTTCCCGTGTGCCTTTCAGTTTCGGGGTGGTCATGCTGGAGCTCATCACAGCCAAGCCGCCAGTGCTCAAGGAAGCACTTTCACCACTCTCACCTATCCTGTTTCTTCCCCCCTCCTCCCTTCACTTCCCCTTCCCGTGTGCCTTTCAGTTTCGGGGTGGTCATGCTGGAGCTCATCACAGCCAAGCCGCCGGTGCTCAAGGAAGCACTTTCACCACTCTCACCTATCCTGTTTCTTCCCCCCTCCTCCCTTCACTTCCCCTTCCCGTGTGCCTTTCAGTTTCGGGGTGGTCATGCTGGAGCTCATCACAGCCAAGCCGCCGGTGCTCAAGGAAGCACTTTCACCACTCTCACCTATCCTGTTTCTTCCCCCCTCCTCCCTTCACTTCCCCTTCCCGTGTGCCTTTCAGTTTCGGAGTGGTCATGCTGGAGCTCATCACAGCCAAGCCGCCGGTGCTCAAGGAAGCACTTTCACCACTCTCACCTATCCTGTTTCTTCCCCCCTCCTCCCTTCACTTCCCCTTCCCGTGTGCCTTTCAGTTTCGGAGTGGTCATGCTGGAGCTCATCACAGCCAAGCCGCCGGTGCTCAAGGAAGCACTTTCACCACTCTCACCTATCCTGTTTCTTCCCCCCTCCTCCCTTCACTTCCCCTTCCCGTGTGCCTTTCAGTTTCGGGGTGGTCATGCTGGAGCTCATCACAGCCAAGCCGCCGGTGCTCAAGGAAGCACTTTCACCACTCTCACCTATCCTGTTTCTTCCCCCCTCCTCCCTTCACTTCCCCTTCCCGTGTGCCTTTCAGTTTCGGGGTGGTCATGCTGGAGCTCATCACAGCCAAGCCGCCAGTGCTCAAGGAAGCACTTTCACCACTCTCACCTATCCTGTTTCTTCCCCCCTCCTCCCTTCACTTCCCCTTCCCGTGTGCCTTTCAGTTTCGGGGTGGTCATGCTGGAGCTCATCACAGCCAAGCCGCCGGTGCTCAAGGAAGCACTTTCACCACTCTCACCTATCCTGTTTCTTCCCCCCTCCTCCCTTCACTTCCCCTTCCCGTGTGCCTTTCAGTTTCGGGGTGGTCATGCTGGAGCTCATCACAGCCAAGCCGCCGGTGCTCAAGGAAGCACTTTCACCACTCTCACCTATCCTGTTTCTTCCCCCCTCCTCCCTTCACTTCCCCTTCCCGTGTGCCTTTCAGTTTCGGAGTGGTCATGCTGGAGCTCATCACAGCCAAGCCGCCGGTGCTCAAGGAAGCACTTTCACCACTCTCACCTATCCTGTTTCTTCCCCCCTCCTCCCTTCACTTCCCCTTCCCGTGTGCCTTTCAGTTTCGGAGTGGTCATGCTGGAGCTCATCACAGCCAAGCCGCCGGTGCTCAAGGAAGCACTTTCACCACTCTCACCTATCCTGTTTCTTCCCCCCTCCTCCCTTCACTTCCCCTTCCCGTGTGCCTTTCAGTTTCGGGGTGGTCATGCTGGAGCTCATCACAGCCAAGCCGCCGGTGCTCAAGGAAGCACTTTCACCACTCTCACCTATCCTGTTTCTTCCCCCCTCCTCCCTTCACTTCCCCTTCCCGTGTGCCTTTCAGTTTCGGGGTGGTCATGCTGGAGCTCATCACAGCCAAGCCGCCGGTGCTCAAGGAAGCACTTTCACCACTCTCACCTATCCTGTTTCTTCCCCCCTCCTCCCTTCACTTCCCCTTCCCGTGTGCCTTTCAGTTTCGGGGTGGTCATGCTGGAGCTCATCACAGCCAAGCCGCCAGTGCTCAAGGAAGCACTTTCACCACTCTCACCTATCCTGTTTCTTCCCCCCTCCTCCCTTCACTTCCCCTTCCCGTGTGCCTTTCAGTTTCGGGGTGGTCATGCTGGAGCTCATCACAGCCAAGCCGCCGGTGCTCAAGGAAGCTGACGACTCAGGAGAGAGAATGGCGCTCGCCAAATGGGTGAGTGAACGATTGCACTAATTATATATCTTATAGAACAAGCCTCTCACCCGTGATTTCACTAGTTGTGTGTCCCCAGGCCTAATTCTTCCACTCTTTTTCCCTCCATCCCATGCTTCCCTTTCCAATCCATCTTCTCCCTCCTTCCACCAGGCCACCCCTGCCATCTGTGCCGGCAACCTAGACGCAGTGGTCGATCCCAATCCAGCCCAGGCGTTCCCTCAGCAGCCTTTGATTCTTCCTCCTCTCTCTCCATCCATCCCATGCTTCTCCTTCCCCTCCCTACCCTCCAATCTTTCCGTCCCCAGGCCACTCCTGCCATTTGTGCCGGCAACATAGACGCAGTGGTCGATCCCAATCCAGCCCAGGCGTTCCCTCAGCAGCCTTTGATTCTTCCTCCTCTCTCTCCATCCATCCCATGCTTCTCCTTCCCCTCCCTACCCTCCAATCTTTTCGTCCCCAGGCCACTCCTGCCATTTGTGCCGGCAACATAGACGCAGTGGTCGATCCCAATCCAGCCCAGGCGTTCCCTCAGCAGCCTTTGATTCTTCCTCCTCTCTCTCCATCCATCCCATGCTTCTCCTTCCCCTCCCTACCCTCCAATCTTTCCGTCCCCAGGCCACTCCTGCCATTTGTGCCGGCAACATAGACGCAGTGGTCGATCCCAATCCAGCCCAGGCGTTCCCTCAGCAGCCTTTGATTCTTCCTCCTCTCTCTCCATCCATCCCATGCTTCTCCTTCCCCTCCCTACCCTCCAATCTTTCCGTCCCCAGGCCACTCCTGCCATTTGTGCCGGCAACATAGACGCAGTGGTCGATCCCAATCCAGCCCAGGCGTTCCCTCAGCAGCCTTTGATTCTTCCTCCTCTCTCTCCATCCATCCCATGCTTCTCCTTCCCCTCCCTACCCTCCAATCTTTCCGTCCCCAGGCCACTCCTGCCATTTGTGCCGGCAACATAGACGCAGTGGTCGATCCCAATCCAGCCCAGGCGTTCCCTCAGCAGCCTTTGATTCTTCCTCCTCTCTCTCCATCCATCCCATGCTTCTCCTTCCCCTCCCTACCCTCCAATCTTTCCGTCCCCAGGCCACTCCTGCCATTTGTGCCGGCAACATAGACGCAGTGGTCGATCCCAATCCAGCCCAGGCGTTCCCTCAGCAGCCTTTGATTCTTCCTCCTCTCTCTCCATCCATCCCATGCTTCTCCTTCCCCTCCCTACCCTCCAATCTTTCCGTCCCCAGGCCACTCCTGCCATTTGTGCCGGCAACATAGACGCAGTGGTCGATCCCAATCCAGCCCAGGCGTTCCCTCAGCAGCCTTTGATTCTTCCTCCTCTCTCTCCATCCATCCCATGCTTCTCCTTCCCCTCCCTACCCTCCAATCTTTCCGTCCCCAGGCCACTCCTGCCATTTGTGCCGGCAACATAGACGCAGTGGTCGATCCCAATCCAGCCCAGGCGTTCCCTCAGCAGCCTTTGATTCTTCCTCCTCTCTCTCCATCCATCCCATGCTTCTCCTTCCCCTCCCTACCCTCCAATCTTTCCGTCCCCAGGCCACTCCTGCCATTTGTGCCGGCAACATAGACGCAGTGGTCGATCCCAATCCAGCCCAGGCGTTCCCTCAGCAGCCTTTGATTCTTCCTCCTCTCTCTCCATCCATCCCATGCTTCTCCTTCCCCTCCCTACCCTCCAATCTTTCCGTCCCCAGGCCACTCCTGCCATTTGTGCCGGCAACATAGACGCAGTGGTCGATCCCAATCCAGCCCAGGCGTTCCCTCAGCAGCCTTTGATTCTTCCTCCTCTCTCTCCATCCATCCCATGCTTCTCCTTCCCCTCCCTACCCTCCAATCTTTCCGTCCCCAGGCCACTCCTGCCATTTGTGCCGGCAACATAGACGCAGTGGTCGATCCCAATCCAGCCCAGGCGTTCCCTCAGCAGCCCATGCAAACAAGTCCTCTTTCTTCCCCTCCGTGTTTGCTTCCTTCCACCAGGCCACCCCTGCCATCTGTGCCGGCAACCTAGACGCTGTGGTCGACCCCAACCTACGGCAAGCCTTCCCGCAGCAGCCCACGCAGGCTTTCGCCAGCCTGGCCTAATTGCTTCCACTCTTTTGTCTCCTTGTCTTTCCTTCCTCTCTCCTTCCCCTCTGTCCTTCCCCAGGCCACCCCTGCCATCTGTGCAGGCAATCTAGACGCTGTGGTCGACCCCAACCTAGCCCAAGCCTTCCCGCAGCAGCCCATGCAGGCATTCGCCAGCCTGGCAGCCATGTGTGTGCAGCGGCAGCCCAAGGATAGACCCAGCATGCAGGAGGTGGTGCGGAGACTCAAGGTCATTCGCCAGGCAGCCGCAGGTGCGTTCTCTGCGGTTCTGTGCGGTGCAGTGGGTTGCACTGGGTTGCAGCGCGGTGGTATGCGGTGTGGTGTGGTACAGTGCAGTGCAGTGCTGTGAGACCAGCAGCCATGTGTGTGCAGCGGCAGCCCAAGGACAGACCCAGCATGCAGGAGGTGGTGCGGCGTCTCAAGGTCATTCGCCAGGCAGCAGCAGGTGCGTTTCTACGCGGTTCTGTGCGGTTCAGTGCGGTTTTGTGTGGTACGGGGAGGTGCTGTGAGCCTGGCAGCCTGGCAGCCATGTGTGTGCAGCGGCAGCCCAAGGACCGGCCGAGCATGCAGGAGGTGGTCAGAAGACTCAAGGTCATTCGCCAAGCAGCCGCAGGTGCGTTCCTAGTGGTTCTGTGCGGTGCGGTCCTGTGCGGTGCTGGATGGTACTGTGCACTGTGTGGTGTGGTGCAGTGTGGTGCTGTGAGCATGGCAGCCATGTGTGTGCAGCGGCAGCCCAAGGACCGGCCGAGCATGCAGGAGGTGGTTAGGCGGCTCAAGGTCATTCGCCAGGCAGCAGCAGGTACGTTTTTAGTGGTTCTGTGCGGTGCTGGATGGTACTGTGCACTGTGTGGGGTGGTGTGGTGCAGTGTGGTGCTGTGAGCATGGCAGCCACGTGTGTGCAGCGGCAGCCCAAGGACCGGCCGAGCATGCAGGAGGTTGTGCGAAGGCTCAAGGTCATTCGCCAGGCAGCAGCAGGTGCGTTCTTAACGGTTCTCTGCGGTGCAGTGCGGTGCAGCAATAGACCGAGCTCAGTCTCCCCTCTCCTCCTCAGGCCCTTCGCTCCCCTCCCCCTGAAAGGAGACGAGTTTTGAGTCGACTCAGAACTTCTCCTCCCTCCTCCTCAGCCGCTTTCCTCCCCTCCCCCTCCCCTTAACCCCGCACAGTCTGCCGCATCTCTCTGTTTCTCACATCCTCTCCTTTTCCCACTCCCCCTCCCCACCCCATCCCCCGCCTGCAGCTGCATCAGTGTCCTCCCCCCCGCCCATCAACACGCGCACCAACCCATCAATGCAACGCATCCTTCCCCCCAAGCCTGGCAGCCGGGGCTCCTGGCGAGACAACCAGCACCTCACACCGCCCATGTCGCCCCTTCTACCCACCACCCCCGAACCCTCCTACTCCCCCCGCGCCGCGGCCGCTGGCGGCGGCGGCAGCGGCGGGATGAAAGTGTTTAACAAAGAGTTTTGGCGGCCTAGGAGGGCTCCTGCTAGGAGTCTAAGTGACGCATCAATGCAGGAGATAACCGATTTGTTAGAGGAGGAGGAGGGTATGGGCGGGTATGGTGGTGGGAATGATGGTTTCGGCGGGGGAGGAGGTGGGGGCGGCGGGGGAGGAGGGGGAGGAGGAGGCGGAGGTGGGGGAGGGGGAGGGTTTGACATGCTATCTCCGAGGTTACCCACGTCTAAAACGGTTAATTCTGCTTATTACTCCCAGGAGCACCAGCCTTCGAGACACAGGCTCAGTCAGACACAACTAGACAAGCAGCAACAGCAGGCGCAGCAGTCGCAGCAGCTATCCCAGCAGCAGCTACCGCCACAGCACCACCACACCTCCCACTTCGCCCAGTCACCCCAGCCCTCCACTCTTCCCCCCTACATGTCTACAATCCCCAAGTCGAAATCGGCTGATGTGCCGGGTGCGGCAGCAGCGGCGGGGGGAGGAGGGGCGGCAGCTGCACATGCAAATGCGCATGTGCATGCGAGAACAAACTCTATGGTGTCGCAAGGGGGTGCAGGGGGGTCTGTGCCGGTGGCGGCACAGGCGGAGTCGAGCAGAGGGCGCATGTATGGGCTGGGGCGGAAGGGCAAGATGGTGAGTGCTGCTGCTTTGATTCCACGGGGCAGCGCTACAACACCTGTTTTCTCCTTTGCTAAACTTTCTCCTCCACTGCTGCTCGCTGGGTCATGTCTGATGGTGAGTGCTGCTGCTTTGATTTCTGTGGGGCGGAAGGTGAGGGTTTCACATGATGAGGGGGGGGCGTGGTGATGGTGAGTGCTGCTTTGATTTCGTGGGAAAAGACAAGGAGAACAGGCAGATGATGGATAGCTCTGTTCTCCCATCTCCCCACCCCATCCCCCCTCCCTTCCCCCCCCCACCCGCCCCTCTTCGCCCCACACTTAGCTCTTCCCTGGGCTCCGAGCACTTGATTACCTATGATGCCCACCTTTTGTTCCTCCCCTCCCCTTGTTCGCTGCAGCAAAAGGAGATGGCTGCACTGGCGAAGCTACAGCACACGAATTTGGCAGCAATACTGGGATACGCAGCAGACAAGGAGGATATGCAAATCGCCTACGACCTCCCTCCCAACTGCACGTGCCTTGAGAACTACCTCTTCCCAGGTATGCTGTCAGATATATTTCCCCTTGAAGGAGTGATTTGATTAAATATGACAAGAAGGACATGCAGATTGCCTGTCACCTGCCGCCAAACTGCACTTGCCTCGGAACCTGTTTCCGGGTATGCTTTGGTTTGAATTTCTGTCCGGGTATGCCCACGTTCTCCTCCAGAAGGTGGAGAAGGGGAGTTTCTGTTGCTGTGAGGGCTGACGGTGGCAGTGGGGATTGCCAAGGGTCTGACCTTCCTGCACCTTTTTCAATCTCATCTCACCCCTCTTCACTCCCGTTGTTTTCCTTCTCCCCTTGCATCAGAGGATGGAGAAGGAGAGTTTTTGCCGCTGCGAGTGCGGCTGAAGGTGGCAGTGGGGATCGCCAAGGGGCTGACTTTCCTGCACTCGAGCACAGTGGTGCATGGAAACCTGCTGTCGCGAAATATTATGCTGGATAAGGTGAGAGTTCAGTGAAAGTTCGTGATGAATGTTCTGTTCAGTGGGGATCGCCAAGGGGCTGACCTTCCTGCACTCGAGCACAGTGGTGCATGGAAACCTGCTGTCGCGAAATATTATGCTGGATAAGGTGAGAGTTCAGTGAAAGTTCGTGATGAATGTTCTGTTCAGTGGGGATCGCCAAGGGGCTGACCTTCCTGCACTCGAGCACAGTGGTGCATGGAAACCTGCTGTCGCGAAATATTATGCTGGATAAGGTGAGAGTTCAGTGAAAGTTCGTGATGAATGTTCTGTTCAGTGGGGATCGCCAAGGGGCTGACCTTCCTGCACTCGAGCTCAGTGGTGCATGGCAACCTGCTGTCGAGAAACATCATGCTGGATAAGGTGAAAGTTCATTGGGTTGGCTCTGACTGGGTGTATGTTCTGTGGGTTTCTTCCCTTGACATTGCCCATTTACTAGAACTTCACATTGCTGCTGAGCTGACGTGCAACGGCCCAGTAAGAGATGAGGGAGCGTTCTCGTCCCCATCATCTTCATCCTTCTCCCCTGCCGTGTTGTTTCTTTGCAGAACTTCACGGTGCTGCTGACAGGCTATGGTCTGGCAACGATGCTTTCCAAGACAAGCACCCGCAAGAACCTCAAAGGTAGGTTTGCTGACTAGATTAGAGCACAGCAAATACCAGGCTTTTTATGCCTCTCGCCTCTCCCTTCCCTCTCCCTCCCTCGGGTCCTGACGGGACGGCATGGCCAAGGACGCGTTTAACTACGGGGTGGTGCTGTTCGAGCTGCTCACGGGGCTGTCAGGCTTGTTACTCACATGCTCTTCATCCCATCCCACCTGCCATCACCCCTTCTCACCCCTTCCCCCCCCTAGGCCCGGACGGCATGGCCAAGGACGCATTTGACTACGGTGTTGTTCTATTCGAGCTGCTGACGGGGCGGAGGGGAGCGCTGGTGGCGGACAGGGAGGGCGCAGACGGGCTCATCGCGTGGGCAGAGCCGCGCATCGAGGAGTATGAGCTCAGCGCTGCTTGCGCCGAGCCCACCAAGCGCATGGTGGTGCGGATGTTAGATGTGCTGGCGAAAGAATGTGTTCAGGAGGACCCTAGGTGCCGGCCCACTATGAAAGACCTGGTAGTGAGATTGTATAGCCTCCAGGAGTCCCTGGCGTCGCAGTGAGGGGTTGCTGTAGGGAGTGGGTGGGTGTGGGGTGGGGGGCTGTGGGAAGAGCGCATGGTGGTGCGCATGTTAGATGTGCTGGCCAAGGAGTGCGTTCAGGAGGACCCCAGATGCCGGCCCACTATGAAAGACCTGGTGGTTAGATTATACAGCCTGCAGGAGTCCCTGGCATCGCAGTAGTGAGGAGGAGTGGGGGGAGGTGTACGAACTCAGTGGCGCATGTGTGGGGGACGTGGGCAGTGGGGGGGAGTGGGTAGTGGGGGAGTGGGCTCATCGCGTTGGCCGAGCCCACCAAGCGCATGGTGGTGCGCGCGCATGTTAGATGTGCTGGCGAAAGAATGTGTTCTGGAGGACCCGAGGTGCCGGCCCACCATGAAGGATCTGGTTGTGAGATTGTATAGCCTGCAGGAGTCCCTTGCATCGCAGTGAGGGGGGTTTAGCTGGCTGGGATGAAGGTGTATTTATGGAGCAGAGTGGTTGGGGTGCTGCAATGGCCAGTCAGCTGCTTTAGACGACAGAAAGGAGGTTGCTGCTAATGCGTCTGAGACGTCTCGACTGGTTAAGATTGACGTCTCTCAAGAGTTGGGAAGCTGTGGCGGGCAGGAGGTTTGGGAAAGGGAGGAGAGGCCGCTGGTACAGCAACTCTGTCTGAAATGATTGCAGCAGCTGGTCTTGCAGGAGAAAAGGAGCAACAGCGGCTGCTGCTCATGGTGCTGCTGCTGTAAGGGGGAATGGGGCAACGACTGATGGTGCTGCTGGTGAAGGAGGAGCGGGACAACAGCTGCTGCTGCTTACATACTCGTATGGTACAGCGTGAAGACTAGCTGGTGCTCGAGAATGGTGTTCACGGAAGTTAGGAGCGGTTATGAGGGGTTGGAGCGGGCTATGAATAGGTGCGAGGCGATTTTGGAATAGTTGGAAGCTGGATTGGGGCAGGATTGAGCAGCTAGCGGCAAGAGGATGGAGCTGGTGGCTTGAAGAAGGCGATTTGGGTGGTGGTGCTGGTAACCCACCCATTACCGGAGTGCCAGCTGTAAACGAAAAGGGTTATAATTTAAGCGGACATGCTTGTAACACACGGCCGGCAATAACAAGTATGTGACAGCTGCTTTGTGATAGGAATCATAAGGGGGCATCCAAATCCAATCCAATCAGGTGGATGATTATGGGGCGTGGCAGTGATAATTCTTATCGGTTATGCCACATATTGCAGCTGATTTGCTGGTCTTTGTTAGGCTTGCTAACAGGTGGAAGGCTGGTTCTTGAGCAACTTGTTTACTGATATATTTTCATGTTCAGCACTGCGAACTGCTGAGAGCAGTTTTGTGCCGTGGACCTGTAGCGGGGAATCTGTAATGTGACACGCAATGTTTTGCAGGTGCAATCATGCAATGTTACTGGATGTGTAGTTTTTCAGAAAACTTGGTTACATTTCTGATTATAACGCAATTTCAATTGCATAGGTTCTTACCGCGTATGATCTCAGCTGGTGTGATTACTGTCCAACCAAACCAATCTGAGTTGATCACCCCTTTGAAACAATGCGCACCCGACTGAACCGTACAAAGAAACTGTAGACCGTTGGGGTTTCATCTCTTCGTCGCCACAACCTCATCTCGATGACGCTGCAGAACAGCTCACCACATTTGTGCTGATCTGCATCACTGCCACCCCACTAGAAGTCGAGGTCTAAACCCTGATACGTGAATCATCATTTGGTACCAAAATAGTTCTTAGCAAGTTAGTTCGTTGATAGTCAAGGTGAAGCACTTCCGTGTTCGTCTGTGCCTACGGTGGAGATTTGCTTCGCCTTGGTAGCATCGAGTTCTGCTGAAATGAAATCTCGCACGCACATTCACGATCTTTCTGACGAGATCCTTGTGAGGATCCTATGGTGCTCCAAGCAGCTTCCGCCGTGGGATCCCGACAGCGACGATATGCAAGAGTTCACGAAGTTAAGGATGAAGGACAACTTTCAAGAAACCTCTGGCCCTTTGCCTTCTCCTCCCGCCTTCACCAATGCTGCGTGGAATCTCGGGGTAGCGTCCGTCTGTCGTCGCTGGCGCTCTCTCTCCCAGCATCACGTCTCCACGCTTATGGTGAAAGCATTCCTCGTCGTTTCCCGCCAAGATCTCGCCATCGCGGTCTCTCGATTTCCAAATCTAACGCACCTTCATCTCTGCTACGAGAGTGTGGAGTCTCTAGATGACGCCTTCTTGGTTCACCTCGCGTCATCGTGTCCCAAGCTGACGGCTCTGCACGTGGGAAAAAGGATCACACAGCATCATTATAATGTGAGGAAAAATCCGCATCCCGTGACGGAAGCTGGCTTGGATCGTTTCTTTCGGAACTGCACTCAGCTGGAGCAGCTTTCGTTACGCTGCCTGCATCGAGACACCAAACTTTCGGCTTCTTTCTTCCAGTTAACTCGGCTGCAAAAACTCACTCTACCCAACACTTCAGCACTAGAAGATCCTGCCTTTCCCAACCTTTCTGCTCTTAGCACTCTCTGGATTACCTGTCCGCAGCTGAACTATCAGCAGCTTTCATCCCTCGTTCACCTTCCGAATCTCACCAGCCTGTCATTCCCTTAAAATACGCGCGTAATCTCAAGCGATCAATCTTCCGCTGCACTAGCCATCGCACAAATGCTACCCTGCCTGAAGACGCTGAATTTCGAAGAATCATCTCCACAATTCGACCAGATGTTTCCACCAGAATCACCATGCACCAGCCTCGAACAACTCCTCATCACCCGGCCAGACCAACTCACGAGGCTTCCTGACGACATTGGGGATCGGCTGCCGAATCTTCGCGAGTTGGAGATCAACTGGTGTGAAACCCTCGGCCCGCTTCCTGAAAACATCATGTCGCTGAGCAGATTAGAGAGCCTGAGGATTTTCAAATCCAGTCGGATTTTCAGCCTGCCCGAAAGCTTCGGGCAGCTGCCTGGTCTCAAGAAATTGGTGCTGGATTCGGTGCGTCTCTCCCAGCTTCCTGACTCCATCAGCCTACTCACATCGCTGGAGACGTTAATTTTGACTGAAACTCGTCAGCTATCCAATCTTCCGGAAGGTTTCAGCTGCCTGACTGCGCTCAAGGCACTGTGCTTGTTGAATACACGACAAGTGATGCTTCCTAATCGCATTGGCATGCTGACTAATCTGCAGATTTTGCGTCTGACGATACCCTAAACCCTAAACCCTAAACCCTAAACCATCAGCGCCAGTTCCCCTCCTCGTTCACCCGATTATCCTCCCTGACGATGCTTGATCTTGAGAATTGTTCCCTCCTTGAGCTTCCGAAAGACCTGGGGAAGCTGAGAAACATGAAGATTTTTCACATCCGTGGCTGCTCGGTCAAGAAGAATCTTGAATCGCTCACCTGCCTGACCAACCTCGAGACCTTGACAATTGACTACTGTCACTCGCTCTGCTCCTTTCCCGGGAGGCTGGATTGCCTAACTAGGCTAAAACGGCTGCAGATTCATGGGTGCGAGAAGCTGACTGAACTTCCAGAATTACTTCCCTGTTCTCTGGAAATCTTGAAGTGGGGGAATTTCAACAAGGTCACTCACATACCAGACATCTCGAAGCTGTCAAGTCTGACCTGGCTAAGCTTGAGCAAGGTTACCACTGGGCAAAATGTGACGATCAGCAAAAGTTTGTCCCAAATAAAGCACCTGGCGCTGGTGCTGGCAAAAGACACAAAGTAGCTGCCCTTCCCGTTGACTCATCTTAAAGCCCGAGTCTAGAATGGTAAGGCTTCAAGAAAACTGAACTTGAAAGGTGTTGGGTAAGCGACGGAATGGGCAAGCGATGGTCATGTGAAAGCCAGCGACATAATGGGAGAGCGTGGGAGACACTCAGAGTAAGCGTGAGCGATGGACGCGGGAAGGGAGAGCCACCTAAAAGGCGACGAGAGGGGAGGCGAATTCAAGTTCAAGAATCTTGAACTTGAAAAGTTGCCATTCTAGACTCGGGCTTTAACCAGCTTCGCAGTTTGACTATTCGCCATGCTGGGATGTTAACCAAGCTTCCTGCAAATTTTGGATCAACTCTGCCACAGCTGCAAAATCTGCGGATACAGGATGCAAAGGGAATGCAGCATTTGCCTGCAAGCATCACGGAGTTGAAGCATTTGACCAGCTTGGAACTTATTAAACTAACCAAGCTCACTTCTCTTCCTGATTCCATCGGTGCATTATCTCGGCTTCAAAAGCTCAACCTGGCCCGTTGTGCTGCCTTGGAACATCTTCCTGCTTCCCTCACTCAGCTTGTCTGCCTGAATTGGCTGGATCTTCCGTTTACCTATATTCGCTCCCTTCCTCCGAGGTTTTCACAGTTGACCAGGCTTCGGCGAATGTCTCTGCATGGCTGTACGCAGCTGCAGTTTTCTCCTGATGACTTTTCAGGCCTTAGGCTGCTTGGATCATTGGAATTGAAGGGCTGCAAGAAGAAGATAGAGAATGATCAATCGAGCCTCCTTGCCTTCGAACAATGTGGCATGGCTTGATGCTTTTCAGGTGACTTGGCTGTACCTGAATTCCCCGTAGACCTGAGGGTGCTTCTAAAGACTTTGTAAACCTTTAAAAGTTAGAAAAGTACTGCAGCACCCAGGTGCTTGATCCTCGAAAGGAAAACACCTGAAAAGTGTCCAGGTTTTGAATCTAACCGAGTCGAACTTGATGGATGGATGGACACATAGGGTGCAGAATGCAGATTTTCATTGAAGAGCCGATAAGGCAGCTACAGTGTTTTACTCGATTACCACGGCACGTATGCCGGCTACACAACTACAGTACAACTCTCATGGTGATGGACACACAGGGTTGCAGAATTAGATTCTCAGCTACAGTGCAAGCCTCAACTACAGCTACCATAGCAGCCAGGCAGCTACAGTGCAATGTTCCATGGTGATCGGGCAGTAGGGTTGCAGATGGAGTAAGTAAGCAGTAAGCAGCTTTAGTGAGAAGCTCATTTACTACACCCGAGAAGCTATAGTGCAACGCTCATAGTGATGGACACGTAGGGGTGGAGGACGTGATCCTTGAGCCACCCGAAAACTCCACAGCGGCAAAACCCAGCGCCATAACGCAGTGGCTCATACAGTGCACAAATAGCGCAGCTACAGTGCAACGCTCATGGTGATGGAGACATAGGGGTGCAGGTCATGGTCTC